GTAAATAAGGGTCTGAAAGACGTTACGCAAACTAAAAAGGCTTCATTGCTTCATCATCATTTTCGTTAAACTATTTATATCTGTATGTATATTTGTACTTAATGGTTATCATAGTTACAGCAAGCAACTCCAAGTGAATTGGGTAATCCTGGTTTGTTGTTATATTTTACACACATATCCAGTTTGTCTGGAGCTCTTCCAGACCTTGGTGACCTCTCAAGTCACCTTTCATCTAATGTTTGGAATAACCTTTGCTCTTACTTCATAAAAGCAGGGTGGTGGGGTAGCCTAGTGATCATGGCGTTCGCCCATCACGCAGAAGACCCGGGTTTGATTCCCCACATGGGTACAATGTGTGAAGCCCATTTCTGGTGTCCCCCGCCGTGATATTGCCAGAATAATGCTGAAAGTGGCGTAAAACTATACTCACTCGCTCACTCTTGATTGTCTGGGGGAAAAAAGAGGTAAGGTGGGGATGAGGTCGTGTTGGTGAGGTTGAACATGTCACATGTGTATGGTCTGTGTTGACCTCGTGCATGTATGGAAGTCAGATGATGATCCATGCCTAGGATTGTCAGAAAACTCCATCATGGCTTCCTACCTCTACTCTCTAGCAAGAAGTATTTCTACTTAAATTATTGCCAACATGTGGCCTCCATACACGGAATGGTCTGAAGTAATGAAGCTAGGATGTTCCTCTTTACTAGACATAGTTTTCTTTCTGGACAAGAACGCAGTTCTCAGTTCATTCGTATTGTTGTATGAGAGTTTGGGAAACCTGGACAGATTATGACGCAGATTATGTGAATGGCTTTTCTGTGAAGATTACCATGAGTAAGACAACATCAATATTTGAAACATGTACCAATGGTGCCATGTCGGGAGCCGTCAGTTAAGATGGTTGGGGGTGAACAAAGTGCAGTGCTGAGGCGTTTGTTCTTGGAAGAGTCAAATTTCCTGGGGGAAAAGATTGCTTTCTCCATTGTTGGAGTGAGAGCAGAAGACAGAAAAAGCCATTTGTCACTGTCATGGAGTCAAAATTGCACTTATGGTGCTTTGTTTAAAATTTGATAGAAGTGTTGATGATATTTGTAAGAATGTCCAACATGAGGGGTAGGTACATCAAGATAGATGCAGAGGAAGCATGTTTCTGGTTTAGGAAGGCTATCTATGACCTTTATTATTAGAATGAACGAGCTTATTGATATCTTGGTATGAGATCTGACAGTAGGAGACATCTTCCATGCTATTGGTAACAAGGGAGAAATAGCTCCACACAACAAATCAGCTCCTACATGTTTTGTATGATTGAAAGCATAGTTCACGATTTGCTCCATCGGTTGAGTGACATGGAAGATCAGAAGAAAAAAGAGAACCAGTATCTGTTTGTGAACTGCCATGGAACATGATAATTGCAGTTCTGGTTGGTTTCTCATGATGGTGGAAAGTTGCTGAATTGGGACTAGCTGACAGAAACAAATTGTAGTATAATTGTGAAAAGTGGAGAACACCCATATCTAGCCAAGAGGAACCGATACAATTCCCACAGCTGTAGAGAATTCTAACCCCTTAAAAACCAAGGGATCAATGTGTATAACACTTCGAGGATGCACCCTATTAATTAACTTCTTGTCTCCCTGTCAGAATGGCAGCCATCTTGATTTTAAGTTTGGAAACTCAATACAGACATGGCCTCCATGGGGGGAATTCCTGTGTGTGTTTATACAATCAATTGTTTTGTCATAGTTTGTAGCTTGTTAAAGGTTCGTTACTTGATGACCTGAGCACCCTTGTTTCAGGAAGCTTGTTTGCTTGTTTTTCAATCTAATTCTACTGTGTTTTCCCTTTTATATGAGACATTTGAAAACATGGATCAGATATCTGTTTCTTGAAAGAAGACATTTAGTACTGAGGCTAACTTGGTGCACAAGTTTCGAAATAGCTGTTGCTATTTCAATGTATTTGTAAAATTAATAATTGTTAAGTGTATAGTTTCATTGACTCTTGAGTGATTTGTAATCAGGTTTGCAGGAAGCCTTGTAGTTAGGTCACTGGCTCGTTTAAGGTGCATTGTGATAATACTTTGGCTTGTGATGCCAAAGAGGTGAGGTGAGGTGAAATTGGGTTTAACGTCGTGCTTGAGAATATTTCGCTCATATGACGACGTGCATGCGTGTGTGTATGTGTATATGCGGTTGCTTGTACTAGCCCAGACTTAAGCTGGTTTTATAGTGCTAGCCCACTGAGATACCATGCCGCAGTGAAGTATGAATACCCCACTCAGACACATTATACTGACTCCGAGTCGACCAGTCCTTGTTGTACCCATTAATGCCGAGCTCCAGGCAGGGACCAACAAGTACCATATTCTAACGTCTTTTGGTATGATGCGGTCGGGGATCAAACCCGCGACCTTCCGCTCTCCGGGACATGATGGAGTCTGAAAACATTATCCAAGTTCAAAATGTCCTCACTCATTCTTGTTCTTACTCCATCATCAGGTATGCTGACTTGGTTAATGCTTGTCATCATATCCCAATTCGATAGATAGTTACTCATGATGTGAATCACTTGATTTTCTGGTCCATGCTCAGTTACTTACAGACTGTTGTCATATTGCTGAAATATTACTGAGTGAGTGAGGTGTTAAACAAGAAACAAACCAATCGCATGCTCACTCATCATAACCTGAAATGTCATACAGCAAGTTATCAGCCATGAGGAAGGTAAATCACAACCTTTGGTTGGTCAGTAAGGTCTTCCAACTCAGGTACATTGTGAAACAATTCTCTAACAACTAGATTTATTTAGAGTTTCCTTACTTTTGAACCGCAGTGAGCTAGCACTATAAAACCAGCTTAAGTCTGGGCTAGTACAAGCAGCCACACATACACATGCATGCACGTCATCATATGAGAGAAATATTCTCAAGTACGATGTTAAACCCCATTTCACCTCACCTTCATTTCACCTCACCTTCCTTACGTTTGAAGGCCTTCTTTTACAAGACAGTGTTTGTTGTATTACCACCAAATGGCTGCATGAATAAGAGTGTTTGTTGTCAACCAACTGAATTACCTGGAAGTTAAGTAATGTTTAAAACATTCTTTTACATGAAATAGAAAGTGTTAAGACAGTGTAAGGCTTCTTGAAGAACTGTGTTGTTTCTTAACCAACTCAAGTTTTCTTAAAACAGTGTTTACCTTTTTGAACATCACTGTTGGTTCTGAACCAGCTGGAATCAGCAGAGGTTCCATTGTTGTTGAAGATGTTCTGTTAAACACAGTGTTCAACTCGAAGTGTTGTTAAAACACTGTAGGACTCATTCCACATCAGTGTTCGTTCAATGAGATGCTTAACAACTGCCTTTTTCCAATGTAAAAGTATTGGTTTCCTCAATAAATCAGGTGTTTCATGTCGCATTAGGTGATGAGGAAGGTTGTGAGTTATGCCTGAAGGTATGGCCTGTGGGTCAGTTGTTCATTGTCAGCCATCCTGGAGCTTCCAGCACACACCCAGCTGTTCCTGCTGACCAGATGCCATGGCTCATAACTAATTCCCCCATCACCACAGACATGCCCTTGATGAGCCGAATCAGGAACTCCAGTGTTTTCTCATTAGAAAAGGAAACACACCTTGAGATGCAATCATATAGAGAGACTGGGGTCTCTTGGTGTAATGAATTTTGTCAGATTTGGAAATGATGTTTTCAGTCAAGTCGTTGACTTCTTGACAGTGAGTTTATGATTGGGCTGTGAGTAGATTTGTTAACCCTGAATCATACACATCATGATTCTCATGTTATGAGACTTTCCATGTGATAATTGAGAGTTAATTTGAAGATCAAGGTTGTCTCCAGTTTGATGTCAAGGTCAGATTAGTTTATTAGTTATGCTGGTTCTGATGACTGACTGGTATGTGATCAGGTTAAAAATGAGTGAAGGCCGGGTGGGTAGCCTTGTGGTTAATGTGATCGTTCATCACCCTGAAGACCCAGGTTTGATTCCTCACATGGGTACAATGTGTGAAGGCCATTTCCGGTGTCTCTTTTTCATTCCCTCCCTCTCCCCTTCTCCCTCTCTCTCCCTCCTCTCTCTCTCTCTCTCTCTCTCTCTCTCTCTCTCTCTCTCTCAGAACTGAGTAAAAGCTCGCTCACTCACTCACCTTTGGCATTTAAGTTATTTTTCATATACATATTGGTATATATTGCGAGCTACGATACAGTGGTGATTGTTGCAATGTATTGTAGTGAGTAGTGGCGATATTGGCTGTACCAGCTGGAGTGTGTTCTGGATGTGTATACTGAGAGTTTGCAGATCTGGATCAGGTCATCACTCACCAAGGCAGATACATCTGTAGGGCAGCCATGTCTTATCTAGAGTATATCTGTACCCTGTGTATGGGCCAAGGAAACAAACAGACCCGGCCCTCACTCTGCTTCCATTTTTCTCTTTCACTTTTGTCTCTCAGTACCGTCTTTACCCTATCCATTCTGCTTTAAAATGTGAATTGGATCAACCGAAATTCCACTCAACATGAATAGTACCTTCCAAGAATTGATTGATGTCAAAGTCTTTAAATAATATTTCATTTATCTTGCCTCCCTTCCACCAAATCCATTGGCAATGATTGACCACCTTTCAAAGGTCCCACAATTTACTGTGCAGAGTTGCATCCCTTATGAGTGCCAGGAACCTATAATCTGAAGTTATAATCCTTGACAATTAATATTTGCTTTGTCAGCAAAATGTATGAGCTTCACGTCTTGGAGGTGCAGTGCTAAGGCTTTGTTCCTATTTTAATGTGACACGCTGTGAGAAAACAGGGACATGGTACAAGGCTGCTAATTTAACCACTCTCGCTCTCTCACTCACTCACTCACTCACTCACTCATTCTCTGCAGCAGCAGCAACAGCTCATGTAAACCAATACTGTATTCATGTAAACTGGCTTTTATTCCAAAACAAGCGAATTGTTAAGTGTATGTAATACTGTTTCAGGGGGCACCTGTTGACGTGTGTGGCCAGTCTGATGTTGCTGAAGCCTATTCCTCCATCGAAGGCTCCTTGGCGGTGCGGTCATCACCCAAACTTGAGATGCCAGACACAGATGCATCTGCCTTGTTCGTCAGACAAGAAGGCAGACACCTCATTTGTTACATTGGGACTTCTGCAGCAGAAATTAGCAAGGTGAGCTGAGTCTTTCTTAGTTGAAGAAGAATGAAAAGTTGGAGTGGAGTTGTCCAACACCAAATGGATGTTATGAGAGTTGACTTAAGTGAAGGTCAGGTTTCTTACAAGTTGACCTTTGTATTGATCTTTGGTGATATCAGACACTGGTTTGCCTTGCATAGACAATATTACTGATAACCAGTCACGAGATGACTTGAATATAGATGAGTAAATAAACACTTCTAAGTGTAAATGGAATTCTTATGATCACTCAAATTGCCCTTTCTTACTTTAATGCCTGGGGTACTTGTTGGTGCCACCTTTGTCTCACTACATAATTTCTTCAAATTTCGGGGTGGTGGGTTAGCCAAGTAGAGTTCACTCATCACCCCAAAGATCCGGGTTCGGTTCCCCACATGGGTATAATGTGTAAAGTCCATTTCTGTTAACCCCTGTCATGATTTTGCTGGAATATTGCTAAAAGCAGCGTAAAACCATGCTTGCTCACTCACTCACTCACTCACTCTCTCACTCACTCTCTCACTCTCTCACTCATTCACTCACTCAAATGTCCTGAACTTTAATTGTAGGTGTTGGTGACAAAGGACACTGCTGATGTTGTGGATACTCTTAAGACCCGTGGGCAAATCAAGAAGATTCTCCAGGCTTCTGACATGCATGAACTGATCATCCTGACTCCAGACAAGGTAAGACAGCCTCATGCAGAGATGGGTGTGATTGCTCTCAGAGTAGAATACAGGAAATGTTGCCGTCTTAACACTCATTCAGAAATTCTCTTTTCAGGCACTTCTTTCATACTTGATGGTTATTTTTAGGGAATTTTCAGCAAAAAAACATTAAAAAATGTTGCTGATGGATATTTAATATGGTTGCCATAACAAACCTGCTGTACTTCCTGAGTCATTATTGTAATGTTCCAAGTTCATGTTGATGTCATGAAAATGGTCAGTAAGGAAAGTTGCACACAACTGAAAGGCCTAGTTGATGAAGCGTTCACTCAGTATGTTGAAGAACAGAGGTTTAAACCGCACATAGGTACGTTATTTGAAGCCTATTCTTGGTCTCCTCCCTGTGTGTATTTATAAAGTTGCTAATAGTTGTGCAAAAACACATTCTGTTAGTTTTATATCTTACATCTTTATCTTTGATCAAAGTTTCGGCTCTTCACAATGCATCTACCAATCACGGCGCAGGGAGAAAATATTTTAATACCATGGGGAATGGCGTACCAAGCCCATACAACATTTATAGCTGGGCATTAGCTGGAAAGCATTTGGCTCCAGTTCTAACTCGGAGTTGAACAAGGAGGGTTTGGCATTTGAGGATGCAGTGAGTCACATTGCAAAGTTTTTTAGTAATATTACAGATTTTGCCAATCTTGTAGAAACTCTCAAGCATGTCAGATGTCTGGAGCAAATATGAAAAAAGTGCTGTTTGATGAGGAGCTGGGTAATTCCCCGTGTGTTTATATTTTTTGTTCATAGTTGACCTTTTTGTTAGACCTGGAGAATTTTCCATGTTGGAGACATAAATTGCCTCATAAATTCAGGCGTGCATATTCTTGATATAAATCTCTGTCCTGGCTGTTCGCAATAGATTTTAGGGCCGATTATCATAGTCAATGAGAATTTTTGTTTAACCAGTTTATGGCTGATTTTGCAAAGGACATTGCTGAAGAAATCAGGTGTGAACCTCAGCATCTGTCACTGACACAGATGGATTCTGATAAAATGAATTTTGATTTTCTGCCACAGGCAGAGTATGCTTTGAAAAAGAATACTCTGTACAAATTTCGTCATCAATTGTTGAACCACTTAAGTAATGTTTTATCAGCTCTGTGTAACTTAATGCTATTAGTTGATCATCAACAAATATACTCAACTCTAATTAATGGATTGTCATCTGCTGACTCATTATATGGATTATTGGAACATTTTGTATGCTTAGACTTGCGCATTTTGATGTATAAGTTTTAGGACTTTATAAACATGCCTTGTTTAGGAATAAATGTTCATCATGTGAATTAAAAAGCAAATGGTTGCAAGTTCATGTGATGAAAGTTTGAACTATTGCATACAAGATAAGAATGAAGTAGATATTTACAGAATGATTAGAACACCTATTAGCTGCCAGGAATTGCAGATAAGGACCAAAGTGAATATATTTCGTAATGTTTTCAAACCAGTCTATAAGATTCTGGGGAGTGAAAAGGGTTGGTATTTTGACTATTCTTTCATATTTTGAGAAATGATGGCTTCTTGATCCCATCGCTGTCAATCTATTTTAGGAACAGTTTCACTTTAAAACTTGCCATCATTTCTTGAGCAAGGCCTTTTGGTTTTTACTCACTTTACTCGTGGAGATCCGGGTTTGAATTGGTCTTCAGTAACCCATGCTTGTCGTAAGAGGCCACTAACGGGTTTGGATGGTCAGGCTCGCTGGCTTGGTTGACATGATATCGTATCCCAATTGCGTAGATCGATGCTCATGATGTTGATCACTGGTCTGTCTTGTCCAGACTCGATAATTTACAGTCCGCCACCATATAGCTGGAATATTGCTGAGTGCTGTGTTAAACAACAAACCAACCAACTTTGCTCACTACTGAAGGTTTAGACAGTACAACCAGAAATTATTGAGAATTTAAATTTTTTTTAAAAATTCACTCATTACTTACGTATTAAATGTGAATATTAGCAGAACATAACTCCAGATTCAAAGACAGGTGAACAGTTAGTATTTTGTCAAGTCACCATGGGCAGCAATGCAGGCTTCAGTGTGGCGGGGGATACTACTGTCCCAATATCGAACCACCTCTCCTTTCATTACAGCAATATTTGTCAGAGTTTTCTTATTGAAACTTTCCTTCATAAGTCCCCAAACATTTTCTATTGGATTTAGGTCAGGGCTATAGCTTTGCCAATCTAATAATATTTTGGGTCCGAAACCAGGCCTACGAATGCTTTGAACGATGTTTTGGGTCGTTGTCCTGCTGGAAAATCCCAAAATTTCCATAGAACAAGTGAGCAGATGGAAGTAAATGTCCCTCGAGAATATCTGTGTACCACTCACTGTTCATATTCCCTTCAAATACACAGAGGGGCGTTGCCCCTAACACAGATATGCCACCCCACACATTAAATTCCAAAGCTGATACAAAGGTGTTTCAGTTTCTTTGGTCCAGAATTTCAGTGTATTAGGAAACAGCCACACAGAACTTTCATCTGAGAAAATCACATTGTCCCAGTTAAAATTTCTATGCTGTAAGCACCAGTTCAACCTTCGCTCCTTTTGTTCAGGTTTCATGATCGGTGATGGAATTCCTCGACTTTTCTGCCAACCCATTGCATGCTGCTCAGTTCTAATGGTCTCCTTACAGACAGCCACAGTTCCTCTATCAATCATATCCAGCCTTAAGTTTTCTAAAGTCCTTCGTTTGTTTTTAGAAACAAGAATACCAATCCACCTCCTGTCAATGACAGTCAATTTTCTGGGCCTACCTCCGCCTCCCTGGTGCTCAATGCCATATCCATTTGCAATATTTTTCAAAACACGATAAACAGTGGACAAAGGGATGCCTGTTCTACTTGAAATCACTTTAGCTGATCTGATGTCCTTGTTATAATACTCTAAAATCAACTTCCCTTCTCTAAATCATCCATACTGAGGATCACTGAAAATGTCATCTGCTAGCAAGTAAACAAAGGAGGATAACTCTTCACAAACTAATGAAAAAGGATTAACGGAGTTGTCTCTCTTGAATGAAACCACACACTTGATAGCTGGTCAAGGTTGTTTATACTAGAAATCCAATTAAACATATTCCTAAAATTCTCAATAATTTCTGGTCATACTATACATGTCCGGTGTGTAACTATGGTGTTCTGTATGCCCCTCACTTCTGAGGGTTTATACATGTCCAGTGTGAAACTATGGTGTTCTGTAAGCCCCTCACTTCTGAGGGTTTATACATGTCCGGTGTGTAACTATGGTGTTCTGTAAGCCCCTCACTTCTGAGGGTTTATACATGTCATGTGTGTTTTACTAACTGTGTGTTGTTCATGCAGGTTGTGCTGTTGTCGACTGACCACTGTGGGGACCATGCCAGCTGTGAGGACTGTATGACCGTGTCAGATCACATTTGTGGCTGGTGTGTCATGCAGAATAGGTCAGTTGAAATATTGTTTTAGTATTGTTGACAATGAACCAATTTTATGATCCTTAAGGGATCGCTGAATATTATGTCACCCAAGTGAAAATTTAAGTCATCATAGATTTTTAATGTCTAAATCTTGTCTTTACAAGAAAAAAGCTATATTTTTATCTGCCTCTTGATTTACACAAACATGTAAATGCATTTCTCATTTGTGAGTGTTGAATTATTTTCTAGGTGCATCTCAGCAGACAGGTGTCAATCATCAGCAATCACTCCTCATTGGCTGGCATCAGATGACCAATCATGTGCTAGCATTAAAAACATCCAACCAGAAATGTTCAGCTTTGAGAGTCTAGAAAACAAGCAAGATTCAAAGCAGGTTGGTAGATTCATGTCTTCAGCAGTATGTGCAACTAGCCCAGATACAAAGATTATTCTTTGATTTGGTAATTGTTTACCTTGATTTCATCATGCAGTTTTGTAAGGGTTATCTCAGCATGGCGCTTTTCTTGACTAATGGACTGTGTGTGAGTGAGCGAGGTGTTTTCTGAAGCAGTCAGCAGTACCACACATGCCAGTTTGAGTATGGTTGGTCTGTGGTCTGTGTGAGCGAGCGCTTTAACCACTAGGCTACCCAGATATACCTCTAAAAATACATTAATTACTACCCATTTCTCTGGCATGACACGACTGCCTCCGTGGTGTAGTGGTGAGAGCGTCCGCCCGGAGAGCGGAAGGTCGCAGGTTCAATCCCCGGCTGCGTCATACCAAAAGTCGTTAAAATATGGTACTTGTTGGTCCCTGCCTGGCACTCGGCATTGCAATGGGTACGACAAGGTCTGGTTGGCTTGGAGTCAGTATCATGTGTCTTATCGGATATTCATGCTTCACTGCGGCATGGTATCTCAGTGGGCTAGCACTATAAAACCAGCTTCCGTCTGGGCTAGTACAAGCAGCCGCACATACACATACACACTCATGCACGTCGTCATATGAGCGAAATATTCTCAAGCAAGACGTTAAACCCAATTTCACCTCACCTCTGGCATGACACATTAATTGTAGTAATATGATAGAATCATGTGATTCTTAACTGATTTTGAGCAGTATGATATGTTACCATGTCCCAGTAATGTCCCATTGCCCCTGCTGTCAACTAGGTTTGCCCATTGCAGATTTGATATTAACTGACTGCCATTGATGTCACTTGGTATGATTGACTTTCATATCACTCAAAGAATTTCATTGACATGTAATAATTAATGTGATCATGTAATAATTAATGTGATCGATTTGTTGCAAAAGGCAGATGCAAAGTGTTCATTATTGTTCTGTTCTGTGCATAATTCTATGAGAAGGTGTGTGTTTTAGAATGAAAATTAAGAAATCTTATGGTCAGTATGAGCACACATGAGTATTATGGTCAAATGGTCCTTTCAGATCACATTTGAGCTGGACAAGGTTGCTGTCCAACAGAAGAACAGTGATGACCTCCAATGTTTGTTTGTTGCTGGGGAAACAAGGCATGGAACTCAAGCGTCTCTAAAGAATGACAGGATTACCTGCCCCTTGCCTGAGAAGGACCGCCTGCCAACCATCCCTCATGGTAAGGGTGAGTAGGTAGATCTCTCGCATGCTTGATCTTGCTTTTAGAGTTATCTGCCCTTGATGGAGGAGAGGTTTTGTTTATTCTGCATAAAACGACTTGTCTGGATGGTATTAATGTATGATACGAGGTCATTCTGATGATAGTTAAGTAAATATATAAATGTATTTGTAAATACTTAATAAATAAGTTAAGGAAATAGGTAGTAAGTTGTATGAAATGAGTCGTTTTATCTCCTTGAGCATCACCTCTCCAAGACCATGTGTGAGCTTACTGTGTGAATATTTATTGAGTTTCACTGCAGTTTGTCCCTAGTAAAATATTCATCATTTTTTTCATCTGATTCATGCACAAACTTATGTTTTCTGAAAAATAGAGAAACGTTCTATTACAAAGTACACTTTGCAGAATACAGGTATTACTAGTCAAAACAGTCATGTTCATTAATTATATGTTGTAGCGAATATCCCACAACCATCTCTAAAAGGTATGTTAAATATTTTCAGAATTTTTCAGCACTTTTTTTTGTCTACTCTACTTTTGATTGCTCTTGAGTCACTTTACGAACATTTTAAAAATAAACTAATGTTTTTTTCCAACTTTTTAGGATATTGTAGTCTTAATTGTTTAAATAGAATTTCTCAAAGCATGTGAAAAGTTTTGCTGAAACTTTACATTTGACATTTTGTATTTTTGGCTTTTTCGTTCACTCTGCATGGCTTATAAACTTTTATATGTTTCTTTGCTTGCGTGCAGCTACATATCAGTTCATAATCTGCTCATATTTTGTTGTAAAATGAATTCTTGAGAAGGAAATTTATAACATTTATGTGAAATATATTACAAAGGTGGTTACTTGTTACATTTTATGGTAACAATATAATGGTTCTAAGTAGATACTTTCATGTTGTGCTTTGAAATAGTGAATTTCAACTTTTTGAGTCTTTTTGTCTGTTTTTTTCCCTATATTTTCCCAACTGTTTGGACATGTTGCAATGTTTTTATTTGACAAAAATATTTTCAGTTGCTCATAGATGTTTAATTAGTTCTGTGTCCAACAGCATGAGTGCACTAATATCTAAATGCACTGATATTAGCTGAATGCACATGTGCTTCATAAGTTCTTTTGGGTATTTTCCACAGCATTAACTTCTTAATGGTAGTTTGTAGGAGTTCAGAAATCTTGATACTTGACACAAAATGTGTTCGTGATTGGCAAACTAGCATTTTGCACCTTTGTATCATGCAGAAACTCATTCCATCGCACCAGTACATGAGGTGAATGACTATTTCCCGTTACCTTTCCCTTCACTGGGTTTTCACACGTGGGGCGGTGGGGTAGCCTAACGGTTAAAGACCTGGGTTTGATTCCCCACATGGGTACAATGTGTGAAGCCCATTTCTGGTGTGCCCCGCCGGAATATTGCTGGAATATTGCTAAAAGTGGTGCAAAACCATTGTCAGTTAGTTTTCACATGTTCCGTATGACCGGATCAAAATGGCCTGTGGTCTCAGGTTCAGATGCTCACAATGTAGTATACCATTACAATATAGTGTTGGAAGATCAGTCCATTTGTAACAGTGATCTTGTTACCCAGATGATTTAGTGTGTGACCCTATCCACAGGAGATTCAAGAGCAGAGTATATCTCCTGTTTAGTCACAGGTTTAAGACTTAGATGAGTTGCAAGTTGTCAGTGTGTGTTACATTGTGCCAAGAGTCACTGTATACTGGAAGCACTGACAGTTGATTATGTTTTAAGGATTGTTTTGCCTCATCAGGTTGCAGTGATATAACTGTGATATTGCCTATTGCAGTGATATAACTGTGATATTGCCTATTGCAGTTATATAACTGTGATATTGCCTATTGCAGTTATATAACTGTGATATTGCCTATTGCAGTGATATAACTCTGATAATGCCTATTGCAGTTATATAACTGTGACACTGCAGGCTTCAGCAAAAGCCAACATTCATTTCACCGTTGCCTGTGGTTTACTTGTGTCAGGCCTGAACTCCTTTGAGGAGGTGTATTGAGGTACTTATGACTACAGGATTATCCCCTTCACCAGAATATACCTGCTGTGTGCCATGGTCCTCTGCCATAAGTACATTGTTTTCTCCCTACAGACCACCAGAACCTGGTGCTGCAGTTCCATGTCCAGGGCCGATCCATCGTCACCCGCAGCGTTGCTGTCTATGATTGTCGGGTTCATCAAAAGTAAGAACAGCTCTCTTTACCACTGAATGTTATGAGATAATTAATACAGTATTGTTAAACTCTCAAAGTTCAGTTTTTATTTTAGATGGTGCTGTTTTCAAATTTGCTTTGGCAAAATTTAAGCATACAGTTTCACCTTAATTAATGTGCATAGAAGTCTTTCTGTAAGTTGATGCAAGATTATTTCATACAACAAACATTAGGGTGTGTGTGGAACTATGCCATCTGTGTGTACTGTAATGAGCCATTGTCATATTCAGCTGTACTGGGTGCACATCCAGCACCTTCCAGTGTCAGTGGTGCCCTGCCTCTAACACCTGTATCAAGGACTCCTCCACCTGCCAGGTAAGGGGACACACCTGTAATTAACAAGTAACACATATCTAATGTATTGATAGTTCTTGTTCGAGTTGAGTTTTGTCAGTAATAAAACTGTATATGGTATTTAGAACTTGCAGTGTCTGTGAAGACAAGGATATCGTGTGGATTTCTTGCTTGAAAAAGCTACTACCATATCTACCAAACCATTGTAGAATAATAAATTTCCTATTTTCGAGCCCTGTCTTCATTTTATGAGTGCTTTTCATCGTCCTTGGTAGATGTGTTTGTGTGTACACTGAGGTTAGGCTCAGTAGGTTGGGGACTTGCTGGTTGGATTGTTTGATCCCAGATTCACGATAATTTACTGATGTTCCTTCATCTGTCAATGCCATTCGTATGCTGGTGGATGTCCACAGAAGCTTGTCAACAGAAAGACTTTCTACCTGAAACTGACATGTATGCATGGAATTCAGGAATATAGCTTAAACCACTCTCGCAAACCTTTGGGGCAGTTCGGGGGGCGGTGGGGTAGCCTAGTGGTTAAAGCGTTCACTCGTCACGCCGAAGACCCGGGTTCAATTCCCCACATGGGTGCAATGTGTGAAGCCCATTTCTGGTGTCCCCCGCCGTGATATTGCTGGAATATTGCTAAAAAGAGGCGGGAAACCATACTCACTCACTCATTGGGGCAGTTCGGTAGCCTAGTGGTTAAAGTGTTCGCTCGTCATTCCGAAGACATTTGTTAAGTTCTCTACATGGGAACAATGTGTGAAGCCCATTTCTGGTGTTCCCTGTCGTGATATTGCTGGAATATTGCTAACAGCGGCGTAAAGCTAAACTCACTCACTCACTCACTCACTCACTCACTCACTCACTCACTCACTCACTCACTCACTCACTCACTCACTCACTCACTCACTCACTCACTCACTCACTCACTCACTCACTCACTCACTCACTCACTCACATTTGACCAGAGATAGGAAAAGGTCTGAGACTCATTTCAGATAGCACCTGTTATAATAACACCCTCTGTTACAGACTGGCAATGCTGTGTCCTCATCCGACTCTTGTCCTCGCATTGAAACGGCTGCGGCAGACACAGACATCCTTGTCCACTCCATGGAGAAGAAACAGATTGCTGTCAGAGTCCGAAATCTGCAGGTACAGTAATTTTATTATAACCCCAAACATTTCTTTTGAACAGGGTTGCACAAACAATGTATGTACATTGACAAATTTCAGTGTCTTGTAGGTTTTAACTTGATGGGTCTAACCATGTTTTGTACAGATTTAGTTTGAATTCTTGTTGAAATTGTCCCCAGTATTTCTTTGTTTGAACAGCAAAACACAGGTCAAGCAGATTGTAAGTGAGCATACAAAATACTTTATTGTTCCTAAGATTCTCTGGGACAGCAGTAGCTGTTTATGTTACTGTGGCAGTGGGTTCAATTAATCATTTATTTCAACATGCAGAAAATAACACTAGCCTAAAGTAGATTTCTTGGGTAATGGTATGTAGAAATCACATGGACATCTGCCTGTATCAACTTCAGAGGCATGTGGCCCGCTTCATTATCAACATCATCAGCAGCAGGATGATTGTTGTCTTTTTGCCATCATCAATGATATGTTCCTTACGTTCACAGGGGGATCAGACCAAAAACATGAAGTGTCACTTCAGTTACCTGGGAGAGACCAAGGTTGTCGAGGGAACGATCCAATCCACCAGTCTCACCTCGAGCCCTGTCAAGGAACGATCCAATCCACCAGTCTCACCTGTAGCCCTGTCAAGGTATGTAACCATGTCATCTCGCTGGATGAGTGAGTGAGTTGGATCAGCAGAGGACGCCAGAAATGAGCTTCACATATTGTACTCATGTGGGGAATCGAACCCAGGCTTTTGGTGAGTGAGTGCTGTAACCACAATTCTACCCCACCTCAAGAGATTTCTGGTTGAATCCTCTGTATTTGTCAGTACTATGAACAAATAGTACTTGGTTGACACATGTCATCATATCCCGATTATGTAGATCATTGCTAATGTTGTCTTTCAGTGGCATTTAGAAGTTGTACATAGATGTCAAATATATTTTTATGGATTAAACTTCTTTTTATTTCCCCTACGACGTTTCGGGACTATTCCAGGTCCCTTCACCATAAAAATATCTTGGACATTGCTAATGTTGTCAATAACTTGATTGTCTGGTCCAGATTCGATTATTTACAGACCGACGTCATATAACTAGAATACTGCAGAGTGTGGTGTTAAACAACACTGAAATCTGGACTTAACACACATCTCTTCTTGCACAATTCCCCTTGACTCAGCAGTTCTGGTAGATTAGTACTTTCAGATTACATACTTCAGATTGCCATTCCTGCAACTTGTGCCATCCTGTTTGATGTGAAAATATTAGGCAATATTAAGTATTTTTGCTATCAGGTTCATATTGTTGATTGCACCATTTCATGGGTACAGTGTGTGAAGACCATTTTGGATGTCAAATCTTCAAGGTTGTTGGAACATTGCTGAGTTTTTTATTAGCCTTTGCTCACTCCCTACCTAACACAATGTACTATGGTTAGCTAATTACTTATGCTCCAGCACTTTACAAAAAGAACAGAATTTGATTCCATAAACCAGGTACCAATATGTAACCTATTCCTGACGCTACAGAGATTGTCTAATCAAATTAAAGCTCTTTCATTTAAAATGGCTGGTGAGGAAACAGTGGTTAAGCTATTTTCCTCATCTTGGATTTCTTTTCCCCATATGGATTAAATATGTGGAGACCATGTTTGGTACCCCCAGCCAGGATATATCTGCAATATTGCTCCGAACAGCATGGAATAATACACACTCAGAGATGGGATATTCTGAGTATGTGAGTGTTGATTGCACAGCTAAAATCATAATTGTGTGGTTTACATACATCACTGTGCCTCAATGGCACACTTTCAAAATGAGATATTGGTGTGTTTTTCAGAACAGTTGTGACAAATTTTGTTATATGATATACCTTTGATTAATTCAGCTTGGGCATGAATTGATTTAATGAATAAATGGAAGATTATGAACATATGAACATTCACAATGCACAGCATGATTCCGACAATAAAATTGGAGATACAGAAAATACAGAGGATATCAGAATCAAGGAAGATAGCCAACTGCATGTATATTTTCAAGGATTGGTTAAATAACATTTTTCTCGTTTTTGTCTAATAATTCAAAGCTCATCCATTCCATGGGACCGAAAACTGAAAAACGATTGCATTTTTCTCCTTGGAGTAAATTGCTCATTGAAAGATATTAATTTCCTGCCTGAAAATTCTAAATGTTCATTTGATGGGATAAACATCAAAACAAAGCTGTGAAGCAAAGGTTGGAGCTATTTCATTGCTGGCGTGTCGTGTCTGTCACCGCGCACACATGTGTAGCTGTAGGTTCTTTCATGTGTTTTTTCCACTTACATTCAAACACACATGTCTTTATCTCATACAGTATGTCTTTTATTTATCAGATGTGGACTTTACATTAAACAGGAAAAATTACTTTGGTTTTTAGTTCACACAGAGCATTAACATGGCCATCAATATGTAATAAAATGACACAGCCTGTCTATTTGTCAAGATAGAAAGCTGAATAACATTACTTCCTCGTACCTATCTGTTATTGTCATCTTCGTAGAACTACTTCCTGAAAACGAACGTTGCATTATATGACTGCTGTTTTTCATGCAACATCTGCTGCTTCAAAGGAATAAGTCCGATTACTTCGGCGTTATCGGGTAATCGAGGAAACTGCTGCAGCAATCTTTTATTCTTATTCTGTATAAAAATAGCTATTTCTAATTCTACCATGCTCATTTCTGTCATTGTACGACATCTGATACTCCTTGTCACCATATTGTGTAAGTTTTGAACCTGTCCCATGAAAAGTTTACAAATAATCCTCGTCTGTCAAACTATGTACTCTTTAACATGTAATTTTTTCCAAACTCAAGAAAATATTTTATGGGTGAAAAACTCTTGCATCTATGCAGTAACTGCCTTTGAAAAGAAGTTGAAAAATAAATTTTCCCGGATGTTTTCTGAGTATTTTTTTCCTGTGAGCAGTTCTGTGGGCTGCAGCTGTGGTGTTGTGAGTAGACACGCCATATGCTAACTCTTACCCAGATCACTGCTCAAGTGGTACAGAGTTACTTGTCCTGATGATGGCTGTGAAAAATATTGCAACAATTTTATGTCTCCGTTTGGATTGGCTTAGGACAAGGTTCTGTGGGTTTTATTTAAGGTGTGGTACATAAAATCATATTAATGAGAAGATGACTTCAGTATTGAGAACTAATTGTTTTAACATCTGACAAGGATTCGGAAGATTAATTGACTTTTTTCTTGTGTTGTATGGGAATGATATTGACAAGGGTTGTGTATTTCAGTATATAACACAGGTGCGTGGAAATGTACCGTTTTTAAACTTCATGAATATTGGGGTCTGTAATGAAAATAGTGAGTTATTTCTAATTGTGTTGTAGGCTTTTAACAGTGTGGTATATGAACCAATATTGACAGAGGTTATATATTTGTAATATCACATGTCTGGAAGATGTGTGTATATGTGACTCACAGTTTGATGTGTCATTGTCAATATTGAAATAGAAATGACCATGTCCGATATTACCATCAAGCAAGGATTTATACAGGCTGAATACTAAATGCCCTTGGCGGGCAATTGAGGGGGTAAAACTTGGAGATGGGGCAGTCTGTAATTGGTCAATGAAATACAGGTCACTTCTACAAAGCCATGTTAGTTATTATTATATGACATGAATTGTGAAGTATGAAATACCAATTTGAAGATTTTTGCTTTTTCTGGGGGTCTCAGGCCTCTAAATAGGACCCCATTTCACAAAGCTATCGATAAAGTCTATGTTACAGTATAGAAGATACGACAGTCGTACCCCTATGATAGCTTTGTGAAAAGGGGCCAAGGACAGGATATATCTCTGATTAAATAGGGGCAGTGGGGTAGCCTTGTGGTTAAAGCAATCGCTCGTCACGCCGAAGACCCGGTTTGATTCCCCACATGGGTACAATGTGTGAAGCCCATTTCTGATGTCCCCCACTCTGATATTGCTGAAATATTGCTGAAATATTGCTAAAAGCGGCGTAAAAACCCAACTCACTCACTCACTCTGAATAAATATGATCTGTCAAGAATCAAGATAAATTTAGAAACCACAGCCGCAAATGAAACATTGTGTTTTGTAAATAGTCAATATTTGATCGACTGTATGACTGTCTTTAGGTATTTGTCATACAAGCTTGTGTTGAGTGAATTCACATTGATTTCATGGATTAAGATTCTGATGAACAAATATCTCTGGAAATAAATAAAAAGAGTTCACAATATGTTAACAATTTATTCATAAATGTATTATAAGATTGAATTTATTTGGCATAATTTTCCATATTTTTGTAGAGACTGGTTGAAAAAATTCAATAGAATAGACATTAAGTCACACATTTCTCCAAATGTAAATACAGACAAAAAAATTTGGTCAAATAGTTCTGAGGACATTTTTAGAAAACACCCTAATAATAATCCTAGAAAACATTATTAGAAATACCATGCATTATTTAATAAAATAAAGTCACTTCCAATAAATATTTTAGGAATCCCTTCTATTTTCCATTGATATGCACCAAAGCGTCCGTCTGAATGTCTTGATGTGCGTCTCCGAGTGCTGTAGACACTGTTGGGTGTAAGTGGTTAAATGAGGTTTCTTGAGTGAGGATTTCACGCTGCACCTGATGAAAGGAAGTCTTTACCTGTGGGGGAATGAAGGAGGGACTGGATAAGTGAGTCTTCTCGTCAGTGAAAAGGCAGGACTATAGGGAGGGCTGTGTGCATGAAAAACACTGGGCCCACTAATAGTTTTCATTCAACTTGTTCAGGGCCATGTTGTGTGATCAGATTTGAACTGCTCAAATGACAACCTTTGAGCTGTTAATGTGATGATATTTGAGCTAGTAATGTGATAATGTTTGAGCTAGTAATTAATGGACAGATGAGCTAGTAATGTGACGATGTTTGAGCTATTAATTAATGGACATTTGAGCTAGTAATGTGACGATGTTTGAGCTGTTAATTAATGGACATTTGAGTTGGTAATGTAATGACCTTTGAGCTAGTAATGTGATAATGTTTGAGCTACTAATTAATGGACAAATGAGCTAGTAATGTGATGATGTTTGAGCTATTAATTAATGCACATTTTAGCTAGTAATGTGACGATGTTTGAGCTATTAATTAATGCACATTTTAGCTAGTAATGTGACGATGTTTGAGCTGGTAATGTGACGATGTTTGAGCTATTAATTAATGGACATTTGAGTTACTTATGTAATGACCTTTGAGCTAGTAATGTGACGATGTTTGAGCTATTAATTAATGGACAAATGAGTTAGTAATGTAATGACCTTTGAGCTAGTAATGTGACAATGTTTGAGCTATTAATTAATGGACAAATGTTTGAGCTAGCTGAGCTAGTAATGTGATGATGTTTGAGCTATTAATTAATGGACATTTTAGCTAGTAATGTGATGATGTTTGAGATAGTAATTAATGGACATTTGAGTCAGTAATGTAATGACGTTTGAGCTAGTAATGTGATGATGTTTGAGCTATTAATTAATGGACATTTGAGTTACTACTGTAATGACCTTTGAGCTAGTAATGTGACGATGTTTGAGCTGGTTTTGTGATGTTTGAGGCTATTTAGTTCAGCAAGCCATAAAGGCAATCCAACAATTGTGCCCATGTCCCACATATGAATCAGTGTTAGAAACCAATCCTTTTACATGGAAACAGAAATTTAGTTTGTAATAAAAAATATGTATGTTGTGCTCCTTTTTGTGCTGACAGTGTAATGCCATTTATCCTAGAACGTCTGGTTTGTATGTCAACCTATCAACATTCAGGAGTAAGTGAAACTGTCCCAGGTAATGTATGACAAACACTTCAGGGAGATACAATTTGTCAGATTTCTGTTTAGCCGCCTCTGACAATACACTGTTGAGGTGATAAGCCCTGAAAGGCTGACGAACCACTCTCTTGTGTATGATTAATCATACATGGAAAAAGTCCTTTAATGTTGGCTATCAATATTTATCCAGCATCAAGTAAAATGATCATTTTAACACAGAGTGAAGGTTATCAGAACATAAAACTTGTCTGAAAAGAAGGATGATTTGTATACTGGTTAGGGGCATGGTTTATTCCTTTTGTGCCCTGTACAAGCATATGTAATGTGACAGTAGAGACTGGCTGTAAGATGCTATCAGTTTCTTTAATCAGATCTGCTCTTGTTGACTTGAAGTGATGCCATGGTGCCATTTGTTTGCGGAATTAGGTGATTTATCACGGTTTCTCTCAAGCTGGGTGCAAAAACGTATCCATGCAGGAAACAGATGTTTAAAATTTTAACCTTTAACAAACTACATGTTTATCATGGTTTTAAGTTATCATTGAAATAACTTTTAATTTTCAAAGATGTAAATACTCTATTTTAAAGGTACCGGTAAATATTACAAAGAAAGTGGCTTTAGAAAGGAAACATTTTGTGGTCATTCAGTAATGGGTTTAATTATTGATTAAAAGGTATCTACACAACCAAACAACATTGTTCGATTTGCTGCACAGCATTTTTTATGATCAAACTAACTGTAAAACATATTTGATGATCAAATCAACTGTGCAATATTGTTTGATTATCAAGTCATCTATGTAACATTGTTTGATTATCAAAAACAAGCTGTCAAGCATTTAGGATTATCACATCAGCACCAATGCATTATTTGATTATCAGATCAGCTTTAGAGGACTGTCTAATTATCTAACTGGCTGTATAGTATTTTTGATCAGCCAATTGGCTGTTTAGCAGTGTGATTTTCAAGTCAGCTGTGTAACACAGATTAGCCAACCAGCTGTATATCATTGCTTGAATGCGTTTGTATATCCGAGACTTTACAATATTTGAAAATGTGTATTGCCTTTCACTCATTGTTTAGATTGTTTTTAAGTTTTAAAATCGCAATCTGTGTATTGTTTGGAGAATCCTTTTCCTTCAATTAAGTATGCAACTGACAGTTCAAGTTTTTCATTCATTACTGTGATATACATGCAAGCCTCCTATCCCTTCAAGCGTTGAGTGTGTCAGTATATCTTACAAGTGTTTAAGCATGGTGGTCTGCCATTCAAACAGGCAATGTAGAAGGGGTGAACACTTCCACTGTAAAGGGCTTCGCTAGGCCGATAACCCAAGGTTAAGTAGTGGCGTTATATTCTCCAGTAGAAGTGAAGCATCTTTGGCGTAATTCTGCAGCCATGGCAAGACGACACCAATGCAAGGCAGCTGTGGAGAGGTGTGCACAAAATACTTCACGCATTGCAGAAATTCTTGATGTTACATTTTGATTAGTGACTGAAATTTTCTTACTTAGCAGTTATGCCATTTTTTATCTCCATTTTTATTTGCCATGAATATTTTCATTGCTTTGAATGGGTACAGATATGTGGATATTTTTTTGCATCAGTAGTCTCATGCTAATATCAGGGAACAGTAGTCTATCTTGTTTTTCTTTCTTTTCTGGGGCAATGGGGGTCAGTATATAAGGGTCAGTAAATCAATTGTATAAGAGTATTAACCTGTCAGCAATGTTAACTACCCAGTTTCCTTCTTGTACATTCGATCCGGGGTAGAATAGGTCTTCAGCAACCCATGTGCTTGCCATAAAAAGCGACTATCTTGTCGTAAGAGGCGACTAACGGGATCGGGTGGTCAGTTTCGTTGACTTGGTTGACACATGTCATCGGTTCCCAATTGCGCAGATCGATGCTCATGCTGTTGATTACTGGATTGTCTGGTCCAGACTCGATTATTTACAGACCGCCGCCATATAGCTGGAATATTGCTGAGTGCGGCGTAAAACGCAACTCACTCACTCACTCTTGTACATTCTGTGACATTAGGGACCTGGTGATCAATCAAACCTTTTGTCAATCATAAAAACCCTGGTTCAATTTCCCACATGGTACAATTTCTTAAGTCCCCAGCCATGCTACTCCTGGAATATTGCTAAAAGAGGCATAAACCCTCGTTCAGTCACTCCAGTTGTGCACATTCTGTTACTGGAGTGAAACACACTGAGGAAGCTAGTCCGTGGACATGATAGCAAGAATCAGAGTACTGATAAGGGGAATAAGGCCTAAAAAAATGTTGTGGTTCCAATTACCCGACCGACCCTTGAATTCTGTTGCCAACAATAAGTTTTTAAAGCAGTATAAATGAAATAAGCTTTTAGATACCTTTTTTTTTCCCAGGCACTGACAGACAATGGTCATTCTAATAGAGAAGGTCGACATGATGGCCGAAACCTTGATTAAATAAACAATCATATATTGATAAATGTGTTATTAGTTTGTACTTTACTTCTTTTTTAAAAATCCTTTTTAAAAAAAAAAAAAAAAAAAAAAAAACAAACAACAAACAAACAACAAAAAACAAAACAAAACAACTACCTATCTATCTACCCTAAATTTTAAAGAGGTACAGTCGGATCAACATATTTTTTATTTGGCCTAACAGGCCCAGCTATTTCTGGTGCTGCTCCTTGCTTAACAGGATCCGATGTCGTCAGTGTGAATCACCTTCATCCTGGTCTTTAATCTTTGCTAAGCTGGTAGAAGCATCAGCGGGTATCCATTGTGTTTTCCTTCCAACTAATTAAGCTGAGACACTCACTTAACTGCTGAAAATACAGGAGTTCTGAAATTTCTTTAAGCTCATGACAGTCCTGTTGCTTGCTTCATCTCAGTAGCAGCTCTATTTGTTATGAGTAGGACTTAATACTCTTTCTTATAGTGATAAACAGCAGTGATACTTGGTGCTGGTCTTTTCTAGTCGGACAATGGGGTAGCCTGGTTGTCCCCCGCCGCAACGCAAAACGGGGGACTATGTATTCAGCAGCATCCGTACGTCCCGATTCTTGTTAACGTGATAGCTCATGTTGTACCCAATATCTTCAAATTTGGTGACAACCTATATTGGGGGATTACGCAGACACCAGTTGATTGGATGACCTTGACCTTATCTTCAAGGTCACCACGACACTTTGAACACTTTTTAAACTTATGTAAACACAATATCTCTTTAAACATTGCACCCAATGTCTTCAATTATGTCGACAGCCTACATTGAGTGATTATGCAGACACCAGTCATTTCAGGCATCTTGTATGGGACCATAAGATAAAAAGTAGTAAATATGTTATAAATATTTCATTCTTCTTTAGCGGTGGGGGATATTGCCGTATTAGTGGCAAACACTTGTTGTAAAAGCATTTACTCGTCATGCCAAAGACTTGGGTTCATTTGCCCACATTGGGTACAGTGTGAAAAGCCCATTTCTGGTGTCTCCGCCATGATACTGCTGGAATATTGCTAAAAAGCGGCGTAAAACTATACTCGATCACTCACTTTTCTAATCATGGCTATCTTCTTTTGCAGTTCGCGTACAACAGCACTGTCTTGCCATATGTGACAGCCTCATTCAGTGTTACAGCAGGCGGGAGTGACTTCCCCTTGGACAACCCCAGCGGCATCAAAGGTACAGTTCTTGTCAATTGTTCACATATACATTGGCCCATGAAGATCTAGGTTAAGATTTGCCTTCATAATGCTCATCTCTATGTTTATACATCTTTATTCTGATGGTCACCACCTCGCATCACTACTACACTTCTCAGCTCGAATCCAGTCCAATCAAATCAAATCAAATCAAAATCAAATCAATTACATTCCATTCATCTTGTCTCATCGGTCACTCGCTCATTCACTTACTCTGTCACCTCTCTGTCCAGTTCGCATCTACAAGTGCCCGCTGATGGTCACCAACTGCGGCAAATGTCTGAGTATGGACGCTGAGTACAACTGTGGCTGGTGCGAGTACAGCTGCACTCTTCAGAAACACTGCAAGGGAAAATGGCTGGACCGCTCCGAGACCTGCCCCAACCCACAGATTCTCAGGGTGAGTTTACATAAGATTTTAATTACACCATATGTGTACTTTCGTGACTACTTAAACAGAGTGTTTGTTGTCTTCAATTGAAAACCAGTTTATTGCATCTATTAATTCATCAGTTTCTACATTGAGTGGTAAACTGGTTCTGACCAAAGCCTGTGGTTGATAAAACTGCAATAAATCGTCACTTAATCACAAGTGTGACAGTTGAACTTGTTGGCTTGTGAGTTGAACATTTTGAGCAAAATCTTATTGGTTTCATTGAAATGTGGTTAAACTAACTAACTAAACTAACTGGTAGATAACTGGATTTTTACTCATGGCACACCGATGTCACAGCTATACTGCAATTAAAACCCATAAAGATCCGGGTTAGAATATTGATCTTCAGTAACGCAGGCTTGTCTCAAGAGGCGACCTTCAGTAACCCATGCTTGTCTCAAGAGGCGATCTTCAGTAACCCATGCTTGTCTCAAGAGGTGACTGACAGGATCGGGTGGTCAGTCTCGCTGACTTGGTTGACACATGTCATCAGTTCCCAATTGCATAGATGCTCATGCTGATGATCACTAGATTGTCTGGTCCAGACTCGATTATTTACAGACCGCTGCCATATAACTGAAATATTGCTGAGTGTGACGTTAAACAACAAACCAGCCAACTTAACTGCAATGCATCTTATGAATGACAAATGGCTTCAGAGAATCTTAATACCAGGACCTTTTTAGATAAAATGAAAGGCAGTATACTAAACTTTGTATGGTTGAGATAACAATTCTCAAAATCTAAACATTGGTAACAATGTTGACAGTATACCTGACCTTCATTTTTCTGTTTCAGTTCAGCCCAGCTAATGGACCAATCCAAGGCAAAACAAACATATCCGTGACTGGCATCAACCTCGGCAAGGCATACACGGACATCACCAGCGATGTCACGGTGGCAGGCATCAAGTGCACCGTCATCCCTGACCACTATGAACCCTCATCCAGGTGAGCAGAAGGGAGATAACTCCTACACATTGTTTAGCAGTTTGTGATATTAGTCTGTTTAAAAAATAGTTTTCAATGTCTTTTTCTTAAAAGTCCACAGAATCTCCTGAGACACTTTCTTTTAACATTATTTTTTTGTCATTGTGAGAGACAAGATCAAACAGTTTCATCATGTTATGTTTTTATGTGTGAGGAATAAAGTATGTTGAATTTGTTTGCATGATTACATGTAGTGCTATGTTTTCTGTGTGTGGATGTACATGTGGCTTTATGTGGCAGGTTTACCTGTGAGACTGACAAGTCCAGTTCAGCTGCTAGTGGTACAATCAAGGTGACAGTGGATGGGGAATACACAGCTGAGTCGGACTCACCCTTCCACTTCGTTGTGAGTAGACCAACACTTCCTCATTGTTCATTACAAGAGGATTAACATGATAAAGGTTACAAATACAAATATTATTATAATAAATTGTTATCGACCCATGATTTTCTCATGTGATGGTAGGAGGGTGGGGTAGCCTAAAGCGTCCGCTCGTCACATTGATTCCCTACATGGGAACAATGTGTGAAGCCCATTTTGGTGTCTCCTGCTGCGATATTGCCAAAATATTTCTAAAAGCGCCGTAAAAGCGGTAAAACCGCTCACTCACTCATGTGATGGTACGCCATGCATTGTCAGATATGTACAATACTGGAATGTGTGTGTAAAGAAAATTATGTTTCTAGGACTAATATTTTTCATTGAAAGAGAAATGTGAATACAATAATTTTAAAGGAAAACATTTTTTCTATATTCTTATAAAGGAGTGTTTGCGTAGTATGTACATTTATTATACGTTGACAACACTGATTGTCCTCCCAACAGGTGCCCTTGGTGCAGGATATTAAACCCGAACAGGGCCCCAAATCTGACGGAACAGTCATCACCATCACTGGCTTGTATATGAACACAGGCAGCAGCACATCAGTCAGTCTGGCCGGGGCACCATGTGAGGTGGTCAGGTAGGTTGCATGGACTGGGGCATGTCAGAAGGGCAGATAAAATGGGGCACATCCTGGCTGGGGCACCATGTGAGGTGGTTAGGTAACTCAGATAGACTGGGGCACATCCTGGGTGATGCACCATGTGAGGTGGTTAGGTAACAGACTGGGGCACCGTGTGAGGTGGTTAGGTAACAGATAGACTGGGGCACATCCTAGCTGGGGTACTGTGTGAGGTGGTTAGGTAACAGATAGACTGGGGCACATCCTAGCTGGGGTACTGTGTGAGGTGGTTAGGTAACTCAGATAGACTGGGGCACTTCCTAGCTGGGGTACTGTGTGAGGTGGTTAGGTAACTCAGATAGACTCGGGCACTTCCTAGCTGGGGTACTGTGTGAGGTGGTTAGGTAACTCAGATAGACTCGGGCACATCCTGGCTGGGGTAGTGTGTGAGGTGGTTAGGTAACTCAGATAGACTCGGGCACATCCTGGCTGGGGTACTGTGTGAGGTGGTTAGGTAACTCAGATAGACTGGGGCACATCCTGGCTGGGGTACTGTGTGAGGTGGTTAGTGAGGTGGTTAGGTAACTCAGATAGACTGGGGACATCCTAGCTGGGGTACTGTGTGAGGTGGTTAGGTAACTCAGATAGACTGGGGCACATCCTGGCTGGGGTACTGTGTGAGGTGGTTAGGTAACAGATAGACTGGGGCACATCCTAGCTGGGGTACTGTGTGAGGTGGTTAGGTAACTCAGATAGACTGGGGCACATCCTAGCTGGGGTACTGTGTGAGGTGGTTAGGTAACTCAGATAGACTGGGGCACATCCTGGCTGGGGTACCATGTGTGAGGTGGTTAGGTAACAGATAGACTGGGGCACATCCTAGCTGGGGTACTGTGTGAGGTGGTTAGGTAACTCAGATAGACTCGGGCACATCCTAGCTGGGGCACAGTGTGAGGGTTTTAGGTAAGGGCAGATCGATTTGGGCACATCCTAGCTGGGGTACTGTGTGAGGTGGTTAGGTAACTCAGATAGACTGGGGCACATCCTGGCTGGGGTACTGTGTGAGGTGGTTAGGTAACTCAGATAGACTGGGGCACATCCTAGCTGGGGGGTACTGTGTGAGGTGGTTAGGTAACTCCAGATAGACTCGGGCACATCCTAGCTGGGGTACTGTGTGAGGTGGTTAGGTAACTCAGATAGACTGGGGCACATCCTAGCTGGGGTACTGTGTGAGGTGGTTAGGTAACTCAGATAGACTCGGGCACATCCTAGCTGGGGTACTGTGTGAGGTGGTTAGGTAACTCAGATAGACTCGGGCACATCCTAGCTGGGGTACTGTGTGAGGTGGTTAGGTAACTCAGATAGACTGGGGCACAGTGTGAGGTGGTTAGGTAAGGGAAGATCGATTTGGGGACATCCTAGCTGGGGTACTGTGTGAGGTGGTTAGGTAACTCAGATAGACTCGGGCACATCCTAGCTGGGGTACTGTGTGCGGTGGTTAGGTAACTCAGATAGACTCGGGCACATCCTGGCTGGGGCACAGTGTGGGGGTTTTAGGTAAGGGCAGATCGATTTGGGGACATCCTAGCTGGGGTACTGTGTGAGGTGGTTAGGTAACAGATAGACTAGGGCACTTCCTAGCTGGGGTACTGTGTGAGGTGGTTAGGTAACTCAGATAGACTGGGGCACATCCTGGCTGGGGTACTGTGTGAGGTGGTTAGGTAACTCAGATAGACTCGGGCACATCCTGGCTGGGGTACTGTGTGAGGTGGTTAGGTAACTCAGATAGACTGGGGCACATCCTGGCTGGGGCACAGTGTGAGGGTTTTAGGTTAGGGCAGATCGACTTGGGGACATCCTGGCTGGGGTACTGTGTGAGGTGAACTGGTAGCTCAGGTAGAGGAGGGCAGATAGACTGGGGCACATGTGAGGTGAACAGGTAGCTCAGATAGAGGAGGGCGGATAGACTGGGGCACATTCTGACTGGGGGACATGTGAGGTGAACAGGTAGACTTTGACACATCAACCATCTTTGGTGGGGCACTTTGTCAGATGGTTAGACAGACTGCATGCAGAGCTCACTGATGAAACCATACACATATTGTTTTTCTCAAAGAAAGAGTGTCTTTCAGTATCAATAATATCGGTAGGTTAGTCAATAGTAGCTGGTCAAACTGAATTTAGAAAATACTAGATATCTTAAATGCATATCTCTGAAATGTTATCGTCAAAAGTCAGTATATCGTGAACAAGATGCCACATAAACTACATGAGTCCCCCAAATGCTGACCTGAACTATTAAAGCAGAAAAATAATTATTATGCAAGAAAAAGCCATATGTTATAAATTATATGCATTCCTTCAATGTTTAAACAGATCCAACAAGACTGTGATTGAGTGCAAGACCTCACAACATGTTTCCGATAACGACAAGGTCGACGTTGAGGTCAACTTTGGAGGCTTGAAGAAGCTGGTCCCAAAGCCATTTGAATACATCACGGACCCAACCATCTCCTTGATTGAACCAAAGAGTGCCATTCTCAGGTAAGGAAAACAACACAAGGGCCTTTGATATTATGATTGAACTTGTCAAAGTAGTTCATTCAGATAGAATGTTGCTGATCCAAGGAATGGAGTTTGTCCCCAAACAAAAAGTCCTGGAATATCATACAGCAAAACCCAGTTCATTTAAAATGTCCAGATTCCATGATTATAAGATCATGGATATTTTTTTGTGCCATAATGCCCTTTGTACGTATACTGGAAATCTTTTGGAAGCAGGAAAACAAGAAGGCATATACAATGTATTTTTTATTCACTTCCCCAGTGTCAGACCAGCAGGTACATGATTATATACATAATCCCTCACATCCTGTGTTTCCCTATTTGTACAAGCTCTCATTCAGTGTCCATGGACCAACCCCAGCCAGTCTACAACAAGATAAACATGCTGCTCTTACCTAACTTGACAGCTACAACAATGTATTCAGCTGTAGTTTTAAGACCAGTGGCTGACATCGACTTACTATTTCATCAAGCTTTCTCCAGCCTATCATGTGCAAGTGCAAAAAATCCAACTCACTGACTCAAGCTTGACAAACATGACCCTACAAACATTTATGAATCTCTAATAGGTGGCCTTAATTGCAAGAGCATATGTTGAGTAACCTCCCATAGCACTCAATAAATATAAGAATAGTATGTTTTGGTTATGCACATGACACTCAGGTATTGAAGTATGATTTGGAGATACACTTTGTGTTTCAGTGGCGGGACGTCCATCACCGTCATTGGGCAGGACCTGAATCTCATCCAGAACCCCATGTTATTCACCACACATGGAGGAAACATCTACACTTCGGTACGTCACTGGGCAGGGTCACATTCGAAACTTCAGGCAGTCTTGGTCCTTGAATTGTAGCCTAATCGATAACGTGACCGCTCGTCACACTGAAGACCCGGGTTCGATTCCCCACATGGATACAATGTGCAAAGCCCATTTCTGGTGTTCCCTCGTGTGATATTGCTGAAAGATTGCTAAAAGTGGCGTAAAACCATACTCACTCACTCAGTCAGTTTTATTAAACATAGGAGCATGTTGGCCTACCTCATAAAGCAGGATCATGCTTGGAGCCTCATGCAGATTTGGTTGTAATAATCTCGCTCACTTTGAAATGCTATCTTCCTTAATACTTCCTATACTTCCTCAAATATATATCCCTGTTTATGTGTCCAATTCTTCCCTTCCAGAAATGCCAGAATGACAACAAGTTCCAGATGGAGTGTCCTGTTCCTGGAATCCCTGCTCAAGGTTTGAACGTGTCGGCCACCAGCCCGCTGGAAGTGCATTATGGGTTCCACATGGATGGTGTAATGACCTTGAAGAACATCTCTCACCTTGCCCAGTTTGGCCTTCTCATGTATCTCCCTGACCCTGAGATATACAAGTTCCCCGGAGAAACCCACACCAAGAACTACATCAAGAAGGACCACTTGTCCATCAAGGTAACACTGGACATATGTAGCTAGAAAACACAAAGTGTGAATAGCAAGAAGATCATGGAAAAAGGAGGTTATAAAAGTTGTGTTAGAACTCAAGTTGCCTGTACACATGACAATTCTGGAGTGTTGTAAAATCAGATTGAATTCAGTGTGATTTTGTTGTATTTGATGTGTGTATACCATTTGACATTATTATTTAATAAGTGATCTGTGATATCACTGTTAAACTTCAGAACACTCAGCTCTGTCCTAAAGTAATTCCTTTGATAACGATGATTGACAACAGGTGTCAAGATCAGACACAGAGACTTGGGTAACACAGTTTACAATGTGTTAATGAATCCATGTGACATCCTTTGCTCTACAGGGAGATTTCCGCAGTATCCCGCCACTGATGTCCAACGTTGTAGTGTATGTTGGCCAGGACGTGTGCCTCAATCCCGCTGCCACGGATACAGCCATCACTTGCCGCCCCCCAAGTTTACCTAGAGGCATTGACAGCAGTGGCAAGGCACTGGTCAGGGTAAGTAAATGCATTATATACAATGGGGTGGTCGGGTAGCCTAGTGGTTAAAGTGTTAGCTCATCATGCTGAAGACTCAGGTTCTATTCCCCACATAGGCACTATGTGTGATATTGCTAAAAGCGGCATAAAATTAAACTCACTCACTCACTCATTATATACAACTAGTTTGTGGGTTAATACTATTGGGAGTCAATATGGGATTCAGCATTAAAAGTCGAATAAACATGCTGCGGCCAAATTGGGAGATTTCTCCACAATCACCATTAGTTAGTTCCCTCAGACTTTTTTTTCAATCACATTGTTATTCGCAATGTGTGATTGGTCTAAGTGTCATCATTTCTCTGTAAAGTTCATCTTTTTTTATGCCAACAGGAACTCTTACGCTCTTTTCATGCCTCATGCTGTCTCTATTGTAAAGCAATTTCTTCCACTGTAACCTGAAATAGGAATAATGCTTTAAAATCTGTTACCAGATAATAGAAGGACCTTTGTCCTTTTATGCGAACATAAACATTCCTATGCTCTTTTCCAGGTCCAGATTGGGAACATCAACCGTCAGGTTGGCTACCTCCAGTACTACGACACGTCCAGTCAGGACAAACCAATCGCTCTTGGTGTCATCCTGGGTGTCGTACTCCCCATCCTCGCAATCATTGTCCTGCTCACCATCTGCGTCATCCGTCGTCATCGTAAACACGGCCCCAGTGAGAACTACATCCCTGACGTGCTGAAGGATTACGAGGGCAAGAAGGAGGAAGAAGAGATTGGCATGAACCATGTGTCTGTCAAGGCGGACATGAATGGACAGATGACTGATGATAAAGGTACGTGTGATGTTCACTCGGATTGTTACAATACAGTGAGAAAATGATATATTATACAAGGAACCAATTACTGCAATATAATTTAACATGTAATGCTCACAGTAGCCTATTTACTGGTTAACAGTGCTCATGATACCAGGGGCGGTGGGGTAGCCTAATGGTTAAAGCATTGGCTCGTCACGCTGAAGACCCGGGTTCGAATCCCCACATGGGCACAATGTGTGAAGCCCATTTCTGGTGTCCCCTGCCGTGATGTTGCTAGAATATTGCTAAAAGCGGCGTAAAACCAAACTCAGTCAGTCAGTCATGCTACCACTGAAGTCTCCCAGCAATATTCATACATATAGAGTCAGCATAGTGTAATTATATTGCTGTGTAGGAAATGATCTTCCTTGACACACAATGGTTAAAATATAATACACGTTAAGATTCATTTAGACTTATAGTTTACTGATTGAAAGAGACGTGAAAAAGATGAAAAGTGTGTAACTGTGTAAAAGATGAATAGTGTGTAAAAGGAGAAGTTTGTCCTCAAAAAATATTTCAGTCAGAGTTTCAAATTGACATGGAAAAGGAGATTATGTACATTGGCAGATCGAGAGGGGGGGTTCAGTGGGTTCGAACCGAAACCCCCCACCCTTAAGATCACATCTGCCCATGATATATATTGTGTTATTTCTGTCATGTATTCAATCACCATTCCAGACTCGGGTCCGTACATCGCAGAGCTACTGGGGAAGTTTGAAGACACAGCACTCCGTCAGAATATCAGCTCCATGTTGATAGCTCGCAGTCGGCTGGACATTGGCGAACTTATCGGAAAAGGTGAGGAAGCCTTTTTTTTCTTATTGAAGGACGAATAATTAGAAACATGGCCCACTTCTGTTTTTTGTGTTGGCCATGATGTGGATATTGTTCCAGAAGCTCCAGTGTTGACAACACTTGTTCTGTCTTCAGGCAACTTTGGTGCCGTCTATAAGGCGCAGTATCAACGGACAGATGATGAGAAACCAGTACAGGTGGCTGTAAAGACACTACAAGGTAAGAGACTTTGATGATTTTCTTTTCATTTCCTGTATTTTCAATGATGTTAGTCTGCATCTGTAAAATTGTCCTTGAAAATTCCTCGAATTTGCTGCTCCAAATTTGTGTTCATTTGCACTGAATCTAATAACTGATTGTCTCCCTTGGTTCATGTGGGTAACTGTCATAATTTTATTGGATTTCCATTAGTTTAATTAATTAATGTCTGACCTGATTATGTTTTATGGAAGTGATGAAAGAACTTGCATGAGATCTGGGGTCAATTACTCACAGATGTACAATATGTGAAATCCATTCTGTCGTGTCCAATGTGTGAAGCCCATTTCTGGTGTTTCCCGCCGTGATGTAGCTGGAATATTGCTAAAAGCCACCAAACGCAGTCAGTCTTGTCGTGTCCCACTCTGATATAGCTGGGGGCGGTGGTGTAGCCTAGTGGTTAAAGCGTTCACTCGTCATGCTGAAGACCCAGGTTTGATTCCCCACATGGATACTATGTGTGAACTAGACATGGGTACAATGTGCGAAGCCCATATCTGGTGTTCCCTGCCGTGATATTGCTGGAATATGGCTAAATGCAGCAAAAACCATACTCACTCACTCACTCACTAATACAGCGGGAATATTGTTAAATCAGCATGAAACTGTACTTAAATTACGAATTGACCTGTGCAGGTAAGAACACAGAGGTGGAAGCCATGCAGGCATTCCTCCAAGACACAGTACTTCTCAAGGATCTGCAGCACCCGAACATCCTGTCCGTGGTGGGCGTATGTGTCACTGCTAGCGACGACCCCACTGTCATCATGCCATTCATGGCAACTGAAGATCTCAAAAACTTCATCCGGGAACCATCTAAGGTAGGTATCTTGACTACCACAGAGAACATTGTGTTCAAGATTGCATAGTCAAGTTGTCTATAAATTGGCTCAGCAGCAGAATAGTTTAATTTCACCAAAGGATATAACTAGCTAATCATATTCAAGACACTTCTAATGGAAGAAAGTAAAACTTATGCATGATGTTGCAATTAATAGGGTTATGAAAATGTTCTATGTCAGAGCAGATTAAGGTTGTTATATTCACAACTGTCCATGTTTTTTTTGTTTGAGAACAGGACTTGTCATGTGTATTATATGCGTGCTATGTTGCTATATTTTACCTATCATTTCTCTTTTCAGAATATAACAGTATTAGAACTAGTAGATTTTGCCCGCCAGATATCAGAGGGGATGACATATCTAGAAGGCGTGAAAGTTGTCCATAGGAACCTAGCTGCCAGAAACTGCATGTAAGTTGAGGAATGGTTGAAGTGTCCACTATGGAGGAGTGTGTACGTTAGGATACCTATGGGCCTGTTTCACAATGCAATTGAAGAGCTATGACATCAGAACTGGACTTACGACAGTCTTTGTTTTAAACATATTTTATTCACTGAGAAAAGGATTAGGAACAAATTCTCCAAATTACTAAAGGAATTACTTGTTTTCATCCTTGGTATGTATATAGGTAATTTAGATTTCCGCAATTAAAGATGACAGATAGTGGACAAGAAAGTAGAATAAGTAAAAAGAGATAGAGCTTATACAGAATAATATCAATATGCTATACACATCGTTTTGTCTCACTAATGAACGATTGCACTAACTTGAATACATTTATATTTTCACATGATGATAGGTTTGCACTTCCTTACTTACGACAGTCATGTGATCGCTTTGTGAAGCAGAAGCTTAATGATCCTTCAGATAAAAAAACCAATGATTCCACACTGAAAAGAATGATTTCTGTCTCTCATATTGCATTACTTTGTACTTTTATGCTCTTTTCGCCTTTTTTCACATTTGTATGATAACTGTAATTACTATACTTCTACCATGTAATGTCTGAAGGACACAACGATTCTGAAATAGTGAGTTGAAATTTCCCATTGCATCAGCATTATTTCAGCTTTATAGCAATTCTGAAAGAGTGGAGTTCTCTAAACAGAATATATGGTACCGATCAATATTTCAGTGTTACCCCAGAGAAGACAATCCTTCTGACTGAGTATGGTATCACAAGAGCACTGTTCCCACAAGACTTCTACTTCGGGGAAGACAGCAGTGTCAAGGTGCTGCTCAAATGGATGGCACCGGAAGTTATTGACGACTTCAACTTCTCCAGCAAGTCAGATGTGGTGGGTACTCCGCTAGGGCACTTCGCTAGGGCAGTATAGGGAATAATTACCCTGTATACATTGAATATTCCAGTTATATCCCCAATTCAGTATTATTTGTGAATCCGAAGTTTAATTTCCTCCACTGTGAAGGATATTGGAGCAATATTAAGATTGAAATTTGTTTCTCCTTACAGGATATTTTTGTTGAATATGTCTGTCAAATGGCTTCAACTTGAAGATTCCTGACAGTATTTTAGTGAAAGGGTTGTTACTGAGTCTGGACATTCATTAAGTATCCTCTGTAAAACTAGCAAGATCTGCTGTTTGACCATTGGTAGATCATAAAACAGGCAATGTGTGAGACACATTTCTGGTGTCCCCCGCCGTGATATTGCTGGAATATTGCTAAAAGCAGCATAAAACTCACTCACTCACTCATAAGACAGACAAGTAAAGACATATGTTTTTTCATTGTGAAAGTGACATTGTTGGCTGTGGCATGTCTCCTGTTGTATGATCAGTGAGTGTTTGCAGTAGCAGGAAGTAGCTGACACACTCCAGGGAAATATCAGTGGAGTAGGTGTTGAGCTTCAGGAAACCAGCACTTCTCTATGTCCGGGCTCATAGCACTGAAACCAGTTATTTGACAAAGTATGTCCTTGAAACAATCAACTAGGAAGAGGAGGGAGTCTGTGCCAAAAACCCTCAGTCTCCCTCCCTGACTTTGTCCAACAGCATCATTTTCAGAAGACTTGTTGAGACATAAACCCTGTTTCTCCTTGTGCCAAGGCTGTTGTAACAATTACACTGTAACCTGGTCTAACGACAGTTGTCGTGTTGCTCTAAGACCATAATACTGCTCATATAAATTCATAGAATAAAGTGGGCTAGACTGGCGGTTATGGCTATGTGTGCAGCCCATAGTTCTTAAACAAAACTGACAGTCTGCTCAACATCATCACACATAATTTTCAGATGTATACTCCAGCCCATATCTGAAAACAGTTATGTTTTCCCAACAAGCTCATTGAACAGCCAAATACTATTGTCTGAACAGTTTATTATGGATAATTGACATTTCTGCAGAAAATTTAAACATTTTACTCAGTTATAGGGATGTCACGATACATAAGTTTCATCTATCGATATGTATCACGATACCCATGTTATGATTCGATACATATCACGATACCTATTTCCGCGGCATTATTGTGTAAATTTAGTTACATTTTGAACATTAATATTTCATAATTTAATAATTGTCCATGAAAAGATCAACATTTTATATTATCAGAGATTAAAAAGTTCTAATTTCCCATCTTTGTGCATGAAAAATAATCATTTATAACTCTCACAACATAAAAAAACATGATACAATTGCAAAATGTAAACGATACATAAACATATTTAAACCGATACTTTGAAAACTAAATATTGATACAGTTTTGAATGTATCGATAATTGTATCATCTTAGAAAAAATATCGATGTATCGTGGCATCCCTACTCTGTGATGACAGCCGAAGTAGTTGAATTAGGGTAATGATGTTTTTGGACTGTTCTCAGAATTATTTAAAGTGATAACCATTAAAATATTTCTGCTGTCCTCTGCCATGATAGTACTGGAATAATTTCAACAAGTCTTGCAAAGTGGAGCTCAATCACTCACTGTTGCTAGCCCACACAAGTTATGGCTTATGTACCCAGTAGATGTATAAAGACTTCGTGTTGTTCCAGTGGGCATATGGTGTGGTGATGTGGGAGCTGCTGACAAGGGGAGTAACTCCGTACCCAGACGTGGACAGTGCTGATCTTCCTGCCTACATCAAGGGAGGCAAGCGGATGAAGAAACCAAAACAGTGTCCAGAAAACATGTATGATTTTGCCCTTCAATTTGGTCTTTTTTTAATTGCTACTGCGGATGACTAAGTGACCCCCCTGCATATCATGTACAAAATCAGTGAACCCCCTCCCCCTTCCCATATTTTTTTAGCATAAGTTTTAAAAAAAATTATGTACAAAATCACCCCAAACAAAATGGGTGACCCCCCACCCCCTTAAAATCATCATCCACACACACACACCCTAGCCCTAAATTATGAACGGTCCCTTAGAGTGTTCGCTTAAAGTGGTGTAAAACCATATTTACTCTTTCATGTTGATCATTGCCATCACGTTTATTGAAATTAATAAGCTTGTTTGGTACATTTCCACAATTACTAAATGTATGTGTTGTTGACCCTATGAGTTGACTAATCAAGCTCTGTGGCAATTTTTGTTTTTTAAAAAGTTCATTATTCTTTCCCTTTTTAAGTCTAGGAATTATAAATGTTGAGATACATGACAGGTGACATTAACCCTGTGCTTACACCAAGAAACTGGCACAGAATTCTGAAGTGAATGTTTGTATAGCGTTTTTTTAAGCAATGGATGTTTTCATTCAGGTACCAGCTAATGCAGAAATGTTGGACGGAGAAACCAGAAGACCGACCCACATTCCAGGGTGTTCAGGATGAGCTCAAGACCTTCCTGCAATCAGATGAAAGCGTGGACGAAGGGGCGGAGTCAAAGCCACTCATGAGCAATGTCGATATTGGTGGATCAACTGAGTACTTGGAAGTGATTGGCTAATTTGGGACTATCTTTACTTTGAAGACCTTCCCCCTGCAATAAATTGCCATACAGACTGTTCAGGGATCAACTATATTGCCATGATGAGTTGCTGGAAGACGTCAGATTTGAATCTCATATCAAAACAGATGACACTTTGATAATCTTAATGAATGATGTTTCAGATAGTGTCATTTGATTGGCTGAAATATACTCTTGTAAATTCCATGTTTGGCTGCAGTTTGAAATAATCTATTTAGTTGTTAACTAAATGTTGAAAGAAATATGTCATGACAAAAAAAGGCTTTGTAGGTACAGATAACACAGTGAGAAAAAAGTGTACAAAGAGGAAATATTCCACTGCTGACAAAAGATATTGTTCACATTAAACTAAACACATGTTTACATGTGAAACAAGAATTCCACAAGCGGGTGTACCCAGTCATGAGGCATCATTCTGTGATGTCCTTTGTACAAGGGGCTTATGAAAATGGACTCGGAGAATTGCAGATTTCTCTGAAAAATGATTGATATTGAAGCGTGACATTAATGTGTGCCTCTGCAGTGTTTAGTGGAAGTCACATGATGCAAACTGGGGCCACAGTTTAATACCGGTAACATGTTGATGCATTTTACAACATTTTTTTATTTTTTAGTTTTACATGATCCTTAACTTACTGATGGTGCTATGGACCTAGTTTGATAAGACAGTGCAAAACCCAACATAGGTACTTTTATTATATATACATCTGGATCTGGTTTCGCTCTGGGAGTAGCAGTATCCTCTCTTGAAAGTAACTACATTGGAGGTTCATTAACTTTTGTTATTCTTTTATCTTTTCTTTATTGTGTTTTCTTAATTTCTTAACCATTAAAGACTTAAGATCTGACTCAAGGGCCTGTGAAAATGGGGGAACTTTAGGTTTATGTTAATCTGTGTCATTTACTTAAAACCTCATCACCAATTTATGTATTTTAACAGTTTTCCTGACCACAACTAAATCAGCATTAAGCTTGACATCAAATCAAACATATTTTTAGTGATTACTTTTGATATCTTTTTTTAAGAGTTTTTTAATATTTTCAGATATGGAGAACAAAATACATTTTCAATTCTCTGTTTTTCCGTCCGTGAAACTTCTTTTATATTCAACTAGCAGCTGTTGTTTGTGGGAATTAATTATTCACTCATTACCTTCGTGATAGAATTATAAGACTTTCATTAACAGTGATTCTACTGATGACTTTAATCACATTCTTTTTACTCAAAATCGGACAACAGCAGCTGTCAATAGTTGGAATTATGCACAAAATCCTGCAATAATTTGAACTGCCTCATTTGATGAACTTGGATGCATTTGTCATATTGAGTAGTCTCCCTTTGTTGTACATTTCAAATTCTGCTTTAAAATGGCTTTGTCCAGGTTAATTATGGTGCATGTGTGATATGTGAAATACAGCCTTTTGATGGAGGTACAAGTATTTTTCAGTAGATAGTTAGGTGTGTTTGAAATATTCTATTCTTTTAGAATCCCAACACTGAAGGAAGGTGTTACTCCAGATTGTGCTTAAAGTCAATGGGAGATAACTCTAGATGAGAATGGCTGAACCTTCATCCTTCTTGTAAAACAGTAAGCAGTAGATGTGCCCAGTGTTTTCTATGTAAGATAATCACATATTTATTTTTATGTCTGTGGAGGTCTACCAGTGAAGTTAGAACAATATTCAGACCTATCAAAAAACGCTGAATTTTAAATTGTAAATCTGACTGAATGATCAACGATCAGACCTAATACACTATTTCAAGGGGCTGAAGCTGATTCTGTAATGATCAGACTTCTCATTATCATGTCAACTAAAGATTTATCACAGAAGGATCACATTATTCCTATTCTTCTCTTTACTTGGTAAAGGGTAGATTTGAATATATTTGGAATACATTGTGTCTGTGACATTACATAGGGCTGAATATGTTGGCTGTGTTGGAAGTTGTACTAGTGTACTTACTTTAGAATGTGTGTAGACTGTGGGATATTCTCAGGCTGCATAGAAGCTCTGTGTTAGAAATGAAATCATGTTGTAAACATCTCCCACTAAAAGTAATCATGTGCTATCAAACTGCCAACTACTTAATACAACCAGTATTGCATGTGATACGATATTCTCAAGGATTCATCTCTTCACAAGCATCTGTCACATTCTTTAACAAACTGGGTTGGCGTGAACGATGCTGCTTCATAATGCATAATGAATTTTACCCTTTGACAAAGGCATCTGGAAAATTTATTTTATATTGCGCAAATATTGGTTGAGAAAAACATGATTGAGTTTAATTCTATTACATTGTAAACTATACAAATTTAATGAGTTTATATATAATGCTGCAGTGCTCTCATAAACCTGGATAAAATATTTTCATAACTCTTGCCAAATGTTTTTAACTTTGAGGAAAAGATTTAAATATTTTTATGATGTGCTTCCACTTTTGGTATTTTTGTACAAGTTTAGTAAGTCCTGTGTATTTACTTCTGTGTACAGCAATAAAATTGTGTACTCTTTGATCCATCATCACCAAAGTAACATGTTTTGCTGAATAAGCGTATGTTTATTGGCAACATGTACACAGTCTATTTTCTAGAGTGCATGAGTGTGATAAGGAAACTCACTCAAAACATCAGTGAGTTGTGTTCTGAATAAGGATTGATACAATCTGGATCAGTTTCAGTTAGACTGACCTGAGTAGATGATGGTGTCCTGATCTATGAACTGTATCAATTTTTGTAATTGGTTAAACCTCAATTAATTTGCAAAATTTAGATGTTTGCTCAACTAGTTTGTGTTCATATCTTGTATAGTTGTGTATGAATAAATGAACTTTGTACCTCACAAACTTCCATGGTATCATGAACTTGAAGTTAAAAAAATCTTATGCTACTGGGTGTCACCTCTGGAAACCAAAATGGCATGATCCATTTTCTTGGTAGGATGGTACCATGGTAGTTTTGTGTGGGTGCCAGGTTCCTGTGTATACATGTGATGGCAGATGTGTGAGAACAGTAGTCTAGCTGTAGATCTATGCACTGTAATGTCAGTTGATATTTCTACTTTTATGGTGCTTACCGAAGCTCGTGTACATAGGTCCGATGCGCTTTTAACCACATATGTAATGTGCTTCATACAACCTTTGTCTATAATCAAAGCAATCTTAGTGACATTTTGACTAATTTATGATGTTTTTAATTTTATATGGCTTTTGATAAATAAAAGCTAAGCTTTGTATGTACTGTGGTTTGTTTTGTGTTTAGAAATGAGGATTCAAGGGTGGTGATTCAGAGATCCAGTGGGGCGGTGGTGTAGCTTCCAGGTTACAGCGAACTTAAATCGCTCCTCATGTGAAGGACCTGGGTTCGATTCCCGACATGGGTACAATGTATATGAATTCTTAATTTTGTGTGACCTGTCAAAGGTTTACAACTGTGTCACAGATTTATTTTTTAATTTAACAATAACTATGGGACTATGAATATTAGGGGGGTAATGCTATGAAATGGTGTGCTTGGTCATCATTACAAATGGTCCTCGCGCTCGGGATTTTTGTCAGTATATGAAGTGATATGATGTTGTGTCTTGATTCCCAAGTTAAACCTTATACTGGCTTGGTATACAGGGTAAGAATGGTCCTTATATTCCCAAGTTAAACCTTATACTGGCTTGGTATACAGGGTAAGAATGGTCCTTATATTCCCAAGTTAAACCTTATACTGGCTTGGTATACAGGGTAAGAATGGTCCTTATATTCCCAAGTTAAACCTTATACTGGCTTGGTATACAGGGTAAGAATGGTCCTTATATGCCCAAGAAAAAGACTCCAACTCCCTGGTTATGAATGTTGTGGAATGGCCTAAAGGGTAGTACCCTGTTTTACCATCCAGAACTCGTCTAAGTATAGCACCCCGCAGCTCCTCACTGACTAATATACCTACACATATACAATACTTCACACTGGGAACATTGATACACAAACTTAACACATAACACAAGACCGGGGTTCGATTCCTCACATTGCTACAATGTGTGAAGCCCTTTTCTGGTGTCCCCCGCAGTGATATTGCTGGAATATTGCTGAAAGCGACGTAAAACTAGACCCACTCACTTATGTCCAACGGTGTGTATCGTTACAGAATCCATGTTCTGGGCGTGGTCCAGACTCCATTATATCTGGGCCGTCGTCATACAGATGGAATAGTCTGGGAAACTGCTGAATGTACATTGATTGACAGATACCTATAGAAATATATATCGATAGATTCAGGCAGACATTGACAGATACAGGTCGACTTAAACAGATATTGAGAGACGCATACTGATATTGGTAAGTAGATATAAACACGACCGAGCGCCACGCAGGCACGCGCGCGCACACACGCATACAACGAGAGAGGGTGGTCGATCATAATACGCACACAAGCAGATATATAAAATATATCTAGATTGATAGATTTAGGTTCATAGATAGATCTATAGATAAATTTAGCTCACTGTGACTCGGTGTAGTTGTCTCATCCAAATATATCATATACCTAGACGACCGAGGTGCCTGGACATGGGTTACACACTACAACTTTCCGTGGTCACGTGGGCTCCATTCCCAGAAAGCCATGATATGCTGAACTTTCCCTGTGAAGAACGTGGTCAGTAGATATAGGGGGTGTATTTTGCTGGTCAGAATGTTCCGAGTAGCGGGGAAAGTATAACCTTCCGCATTCATGGTGAAGTGTAAGAATGAGTTGCGGGTGCTGTCCACACCCAATGGTACCCCTGTTACCGTAGAAAGGCATTTGTAGTGTCAGCTGAGGTCGTCTGTTTGTTCCTATTTCGGCAGATGTGGAATTGCCAAATGTATAGAAAACATTAGTTACCAAATGTCGGTTTTCAGGTGGATTTGGCACAGTAGTCCGTGCGAAGACGTAGATACCCCGATATGTAAGTTAAGGAGCTATAATCTCATAGTCGGGACGGGATGATCCAATATCGGTTGATGACATAGAGCGTGGTATTCCGACTCAGCAAGTGCAGTAGGGAACACTACCACGACTACCGAAAGGAGACCAAGGACCTGTTCAATAAATACAAATACACGCCATGCACACTCAGTCACCCACTCTGTACTCTCTATACAGATTGAAAGGATATTTTTCTATCAGCTGCAATTACACACGACAAACAACTAAAAAACACAAAAAAACACAAAAAAAACCAAAGCACGCACACACACACAACCACACAACAAACACACACGCGCCAACAAATATAACATTTTTAGATTATTTGTTCAATTCTTTTAACGGGAAGCTGACACAGTTCTTTGTCAATGTCAGTGCCTATATATTTATATATATATTGATACATAATGATAATAAGCCGGGGACACACTCGGTTATAAATGTCTATGTATGTCGGCTGTCTGTAATTGATCGAGTCTGGACCAGCCAATCCAGGGATCATGAGCATCGATCTGTGCCACAACTGAGTTGATCATGTTTAGTAGTCTTCCCGTGATGTTACATCGTGTCGTCTTATTGCAATGGTCTTAATTATTGTTGGGGTAAAACAGGAAGTGATGCGGAAACAAACGAGCACGTGCTGCATAACCTTGAAACATTATGGATGTTTCGAACCAACAATCATACCACACTCCGGTACAGTGATGACTTAGCATAACATCACTGCCACAGGCTAATTTGCATATCACGTGACCGGACTTTTCTCTTGTTTGTAAACAAACACGCATATTCATAAGAAGAGACTGGCCTTACGCAAGCTTTTCGGCGCGCTCTTCACAATGTTTTACATTGTTACATATATATTCTTCCACAACTACGACAGTAAGGTTTGTGACAATACATATTTAGATATCAAACTGGCTGCATCGTCTGCTCTCCGTCGGCTTCGATGACAGCACGTGGAGCCGTACTACTTATATATATATGCAAACAAAGAATCGCTACGCAAATCGAAATAGTGTTACATGTTTTAGAATATTTTCTCAGTGAAACTAAACCATTCTATCAAAGATGTTTACTTAGATGTGTAGACTCGTCAAAAATAAAAGAGTTAAGAAATAAGTACATCATATTGAATGGACTGTGTAAGATGTGACGATTCGTCACATCTTTTTGGCCTGTGGCACAGGTACTATGCTGCTCCTCAGACTACGTGGCCACCATTGCACCCCACTGGGATTTGCACCAATAATTATGTAGAGGTAAAACGATATTAAATTTAAACATTGGCAATATGTTTGGGGATGATAATGTTGCAAATATCGACATTGAGTGGAGAAGCATTCATTGCCATTTTGAAAAAAGTGCTTTTGTATCTGTTGGTTTAACGTGAATACATGATGTATACATATGAAAATGACAAGTACATTTTAAAGACACGTTGCATTGCAGCACTCATTCCCCAGCATTAAGGACTCAGAGATCACCTTTCATCAGTCATTTCTTTCAAGAAAACGGGGGCGGTGGGGTAACCGAGTTGTTAAAGCGTTCGCTCGTCACGTCGAAGACCCGGGTTCGAGTCCCCACGTGGGTACAATGTGTGAAGCCCATTTCTGGTGTCTCCCACTTTGATATTGCTGGAATATTGCTAAAAGCGGCGTAAAACACAACTCACTTACTTACTTCAAGAAAATATCTGAAGGTATTGTACGAACGTTTCAGTTACTATTGAAGGCATAATTCGTGAAGTTTAGCAAGAAATGTTTGCACATCAATTGCACGTACATAGATAATTATGCGGTTTGTTTGTTAACGCCGCACTAAGCAATGTTCCAGCTACATGTCGGCGGTTTGTATATAATCGAGTCTGGACCAGATAACCCAGTTACTGGCATCTACGCAGTTGGGATACGATGGCATGTGTCAAACAATTCAGGGAGCCTGACCACGCGATCCCGTTAGAACTTTGAGTCTTACGACAAGTATGGGTCACTGAAGACCATACCTTCTCCGGTCATTTGTGTGGTGGTACCTTCATTTCCTTCAATTATTATTTAATGTCGGCATTTATTATCTTAAGGTGTAATTTGACAGACCGGACGTCATATTTAACAGTGTGAACATGTTCGTGTGTGTGTATTGACATGAGATATGTGAGTTGATTATATATTTCAGAATTTGATGATTTGGAAAATGATGGCACAACATTACCACTACCATCGTGCTTTCTATTAATACATTCCAAACTTCAAAAGCACCAAGGAATATTGTTCACAGCGAAATTCAGCATGTATTTCTTGCTTTTCATATGAAAAGCGTGTGTCAGTTCTCTACTTGTTCCTGAAATAAAAACCATTATTACAGGCGAGGCATAAATAAAATCAGTGGAACACCCATAAACTTTGAAAGAAAAACCATTCCGCGTGTTTCTAAAGTTGCCCGAATTTTGTGTTGATGCTACTCACAGCGTTTTGATGCTATAGTTTTGCCTGCTGTCACGGTTTGTCATCTGGACAGATTCTCAGATTTGAGATGGCTGCTCAGTGATATGTGTCCAATGAGGGAAGGGGTGGCTACTTGTCTTCTACCTGTGGCGGGATTGGGTGGTCAGGCTTTGTTGACACATGTCATGGTATCCCAATTGCGTAGATCGATGCTCATGCTGTTGGTCACTGGATTGTCTGGTTCAGATTCGATTATTGACAGACTGCCGCCATACACATGTAGCTGGAATATTGCTGAATGCGGCGTTAAACCAACCAACTCGAGTTGTCCCTGGGGTGTCAATAAAATATACGTGTCAATTACTGCATCAGTTTATCACTTTCACACAATGATGACTAACGCTAACACTCAAGCCGGTCGAAAGCGGCTCACATCCAAATCACTCACTCATGCAAATACAGATTACACCACATATTTTGAAGTGAACTATATATGAATAACACTCAAGTTCAGCTTTATAATTTTATTACAATGTTTCACTGTAACATGTTTATAACAGGCGCGACACACATCAACTGGAGAGATTCTCTTTGACTACGGATGTTCGGTGATCTGTTACGAGACGGGCCACACTTATGCTCTACCTGTAGATAGAAGGAAAAATCATTATTAGAAATCTCTAAGAAAAGCAGAGTTCATTATGCTATTCTGACCATATTAATAATTATGTAATTAAGAATCACTGTCGCTGACACGGATGATCTCTCTTACCAAACTGTGGAAGTATAATGGATATGCCATTGTTATTGACATCAAGTTGAACACACTTTAGACGCAGAACAGATCTACAATCTAATATGTATAAAACTACAGACACAGTAATGAAGTGGCGCATGAATGTGAAACTGAGATGGCACTGAAATTTGTAATAACAATAGAAAACACTGGCGACAATCCCCACCAGGAAACTGTAAGGCAGACAACTTGTTTTGTCTTTGTTGATATCGTCAAACACTGGACAGGACTCAATTCTTTACAGGCATCTTTGAGATATCTGGACTATTGCTTCCCAACATTAATTGGCCACACTCACTCACTCACTCGTCAGCGATCGTTTGAGGAGTTTGTGAAATTATGGTGTGCAAGTGGGAAATTAGTCAGAATCTACATATCTGATATGAATCTAAATGAACCATACATGATGGGGTATGGTATTTCTTCTATTCAAGATGGCTGACAATAAACTAAATTTAATGAGTCGTGTGCTATGTAACAAAAGAAAACAGAAACGACTAGGAAATTAAGTTAATTTTAATCAGTACAGATTAAAGTGAAAACTGAGGTTAAATCTTGTCCGAAAAGCCAAAATGTTCAAGTAAAAACTATATGTTTTCAAATGGTTAACATGCAGTCTACATTTATGAAAAATCCAAAACCACAAAATGTCTGAAAGGTCCGAAAAGTATTTTAAAAGTCCAAAAAAGGTCCAAAAGTGCTCAAAGTCACCAAACAGTTTGTATACATGATTTAATGTAAATAGTTATATGACACAATGTCCAAAAGGTGACTAGGTGTCACTGCAAGCCCCCATCTTGACACAGAACAGTCTCCTCAAGAATCCAACAGGTATCAAGATGTCACTCTAAGCGTCCATCTTGACACGGAACAGTCTCCTCAAGAATCCAAGAGGTATCAAGATGTCACTACAAGCGTCCATCTTGACACAGAACAGTCTCCTCAAGAATCCAAGAGTTTGCAAAATGTCACTATGAGCGTCCATCTTGACACGAACACTTTCTTGAAGAATCAAAGAGGTAGCAAGGTGTCACTCTAAGCGTCCACCTTGACACGGAACACTCTCCTTAAGAATCCAGACACACGTGACAGGAAGACTCGAACTGGGGACTGGGTCGGGGTGTCGTCATCATCGAGGTTGATATCGACGAAGTGAGGGGCATCACGGAGGACAGGGGTAGAGAGAGGGGCAGGGAGGGAGGTGGGAGGGACGGGCAGCTCAGATAGGGGCTCAAGGATGGTCATGTATCTCCCAGTTGGACGCTGAGAGGGAGGGAGAGAAGGACATGTACAGAGTGAGAGAAGGTTGAAGTGGTGAATGGAAATTGATTGATATAGCCATACTCATGATGTTAGACACTAGTTAGTGCATATAATATTTGGTGATTGGTGTTAAGATTATTGGTAAGAGTAATACCTGTAACTGATACATTAATGAAAGCTTTACAATTTCAGGTTTACAATAACTGTATAAAATTACTAATTCCCTAAGACACCCACTTGGCGAGGAGGGGCCCAGATGTCAAAGTTCAAAGGGAACCTGATCACGAGGTCAAGAGCTGTCGGGGACAAAAGAAATGAAAGTTGTATGCAACCATGCAACAAACTGGATCTGATTGATCAAAACGTCATCAACTAACAGGGATTGGGATAGAGAACTTTGACAATGGGCCATTTTCAGGATTATTAGCCATTTTCTGAATTTAGAATGGGCCAAAACCCTTGTATCAATCGTAAAGTTCAAAATTTTAATGGGCCATTTTGTTATTCTAATGTGCAAAATGGCCCATGGCCCCTGCCTTTCCCAATCCCTGAACTAAAGCGGCAACCTTCATTAAACCATAATAGTTTTTTACTTGATCACGACAGTGAAATGGGAAGGCCATACTAATTAACCGTTGCATATAATTTGATTGGGTTTCAGGCCACTATTTGGTAATGTCGTATGTTTTAGCAAACAAACATGCTTGTGGCATTAGCAGTTGTAGCAGTTCTGTCAACTACAAAGTTTGGAAAGTCATAATTGCCACTTCTGACTGGCATCCTGTAACACAAATCATGTGTTTGGGAGGTTTCAATGCGAAACGCCCAATATATTTTTATCTGACCAGTGCATTTTATCAGAGTATTAGTATAGCATTAGTATAATACATGTTTGAATTTCTGGTTGAAAAGTTAACTCCAAAAAGTTAATGGTATGTTGTTGAATGGATGGTGTCACTGCAAGTTTGCTTCAACCAAATTGAATGTGACATTAATAAATGGGGTTTTAATGACATGTTATTGGACAGGTCAAAAACGTTTAAAAGGTTAAATGTTGATATCACCTCCCAAGTTACCAGTAAGTTAAGGTAATAATAATTAATGATCTTGCCATTTTGGTATAAGCTATGCAATCGTTTCATTATTACATGAGCCATTACAATTGTGATGTTCAGTGTTCAAGAATAGGGTCTCACCCTCTGACAAATCTGGCAGATCTGATAGAAGTCTATAACCAGCCGGCCCCAGTGTCTGACTGCATATTTCACAATGACTTTGACCGAAGTTGTTATATGTGACATGTGACACTTGTTTGCTGTTTGTAAATCTTATACTTGTTAATAATTTAATGCCAATTATAACAAATGTTAAACCTGAAATGTGTGTTTAATTTTATTCTTTGGGTCCTGTGAATTTTGAATGGGTCAGACAGACACCTGAAACTTACAGGACCCACTGTCCTGTTACTTTGAAACACCATTCGTGAACACTGGGTGTTAGTTAGTTAATATGAGTGATCAGTCAATCTGCACCACTCTTTATATCAATCAAAGAAACCATTACCTGAATCTGATTAATAGAATTGTTTAAAAACTTCAAGAAATGTAAACTGTGGTAATTCTTGATCAATTAGTGGCGGTGGGGTAGCCTATTGGGTAAAGCATTTGTTCGTCATGCCAAAGACCAGGGTTCAATTCTCCCCATGGGTACAATATGGAATATTGCTAAACCATACTCACTCACTCACTTGATAAATTAACAATATCTTCATAAATCTTTGCATCTCACCAAAATATATGGAAGGTGATCTCCAATTAGAAAATATTTTGACCAACACTGTTCAAGTTAACAAACTTTTCCAAATTAAAATTTGTAAACTATGATAACTTTATTTTATATTATTTTTTATGTTACGACATAACTTAAGTTATTCACTTGTAGGCTATACATATTGACACACATTTTAGTGAAATAACAAATGTTAAATTATGTCAATATATTTAATTTACTGGAAATGATAGCAAGACATTTTTCAAATCCCAGATCCTGGGTTTCAGAAAAATAATGTGTAGAAGTAATGACATATATTATAATCTAATCAAGTTATCAATAATTATTCTTGTCAATTATAAAATAGATGAGATATCAAATTAATATGATTTCAATGCAGGACAAGGTAACTACTCGGTATTAACCCGTTTGTTGGCTCTTGCTCTGAGATATATTTCTTTTTAAATGATATATTTTTAAAAAGATAGTACTGAAAGTGTATAGTAATCACTGATTACCAGTATAATAATTCATAAACCCTAATTCAACAAACAGAAAATTGGTGAAAAGAAAGGCTAACGTTTTTTGGTCGTGGTTAACAGACTAAATTACATAATTTGCAGTTGAGTTTTGATATAACTTTGATGAATATTGAAATGCATTTGCACCAGCTTGTGAGTTATATTGCTGAGTGCAGCGTAAAACCAAACTCACTCACTTCCCCCCAATACTAGTTTAGCGACTTGTAAAAACATCATGAGTCATGACAGTGACCACTATCCAGATCCTGGTGGCTTTTGCGGACCGCAGTACCAGTGTGATTAACAATCTGGTTACATTCTTGGCAAGAGAATCCCGGGTACAAAAGGGACAACGGGAGAACTGCATTCAAACCTATGCTACTCATAATGGGTAATATATTAAGAAGAGTTTTGGAAGCTTTGATGACTGCTCAAAATAGAATAAAACCTGAAAAATGGATATAAACCTCAGGACAGTCAAGTTCTGAAAACAGTTGATGTGGGAGTGAGTTGAGGCTTTGTTAATGGTTCGTTGTTGTTTTTGTCCAGTCTGGTTCAGAATATTAAAAATGAGTCTTATCGGGATTCAATGGGGGCTATCAGTGCAAATGATATTGTATCATAATGGCGAATTTCATGCTATAAAGTAGAGGTGATAAATCCAGTATAACGCTAACTCATGGAGGCGTTGTTTTCCTGTGTTTTTATTCACAAACTGACAGGTTCATGGGCCTCAATTAACGTGAAAAATGGTATCTTTGATGACAGCAACCGGGAAGATGGTCTGGAAGTGTTTTCATATTCCTACTTCATACTGAATTAAGTGAATAAATCATAAGAGAAAGCAAAAGGCAAGAATAATGTAAGTAGAAATAACGAACTACCTTGGGTGTACGACGTCATTGTAATGGCAGCTGGAGATGAACGAACTGTGAGGCAAACGGTGCAGAAAACTGGCAGTATGACGGTATTATGTGATAGCGACAAAATGGCGGTATCAATAGTGAAACTGTCGTCATAGCGACGTCATAAATCTCGCGAGATCGTCATAGCCTCGCGTGACGTTAACGCTATGACTGGTTTTCTTCTTGCTCAACGCAAGTCAGGATCCCAGTCATGTTTCCTCTTGTCGCGAGGTAGAATGTCTGCATGCCAGTCAAGACAAAATTGTTGCCGCAGCTTCAAAGTCGGCTGGGGGCGGTGGGGTAGCCTAGTGGTTAAAGCGTTCGCTCGTCACGCCAGAGGCCCGGGTTCGATTCCCCTCATGGGTACAATGTGTGAAGCCAATTTCTGGTTCCTCCGCCGTGATATTGCTGGAATATTGCTAAAAGCGGCGTAAAACTAAACTCACTCACGCAAAGTCATCTGCAAATAGTGACCATTATAAATATAATTTTAAACATGTTTAAAAGAAAAACATTATACAAACAACCTGAGCGCTATGGCTATCATAAGTCATTGATAAGGTATTGGAGTTACGATCATATCAGCACTAAGATCGCTCTGTCAGCGTCACAGACACATCATATACTGAAGGTGTTTTAACTCCTATGTCAAACAAACAGTTAAATACACTTTATTCCTTCGCTTTGTGAGAGCTAGGCTAAGCGTAAGCGTGGGAGGATTTGCGGGGTTTTGTTATTGTGTGTTTATCTATTTTTATTTATTTTGTTTTAGGGCGATGGTAGGGTGTTCTCTCCGGACATTCTCTGTTTTTCACAAATATCAAACTATGGTGTTTGTTGGCCATACGTCAGTACTTTTATCCCATGTAGATACGTGTTAGAATTGGGTGACAATAAACTCTATAAAATAGACTGGCGGAATCGGATCCACACACCTGTGGGTGACAAACATGTGTCAGATCGATTTATGATCGTCTACTCCATGGTGATGACCTAAAGTCAGGTAATGACGGACTACTATCCTGATTAAAATTCATTCATAGGTTACTCATGCTTCAATAGAACCCAAGGCTGTTACTCAGCCAAGCAACTTTATACTCTCTGTTAGTTTTGCAATTATATCGTACACAAACTTAGAATAACTACTGACATGTAGGTGAATTTGCATATCTCTGTTAAAAGAAGATTGTGCGTTTGTATCAGGGATATGATGTTTTTGATCTGTAACCAGCAAGCTAATAATGAGTAACTTCAAGACACCACAACAACAAATCTGGGTCCCGATCCACAAAGCGTTCGTAACGTTACGACCTGTCGTAACTCTATAGTTTATCATAGGCTTACGAATGTCGTAGAGCTACGAACGTTTTGTGGATCAGGGTCCTGGTCGCAACTCGGTTTTCTGTCATAAACCATAATGTTTCTTAATATAAATGAAACAGCTTGGCACCTGTGGGCAAGAACAAGATCTGGTAGGTGTTTTGTGTTTTGAAGAATAGGGCGTCCACTGGATGTAAGGTCGTTGGATCTATCTCGTCAGTCACACCCAAAAAAGGTAAAAAGATGGTACTTCTTGTTACTCTGCTTAGTGCTCGACATTTCGGGAGAGATTGCACGTACTGGGGACTCAGTCTATACTGTGTCTAACAAGGGTCTCCATGTTAAAACTGCAGCATGGTTTCGGGGCTTGTACAAGCAGTCAGTCAGACAGACAAACAAACACATATAACATATAGTATATATAAACAGGTTTATGACAATGAAGTCTTTTTCACTACGTTTGGAAGTCAGGTTATCTGAACCGCCTTTAATGAAACATTTTACACAAAGACGCAGCATGCATGGATGGTGATTTTTCCAGAAGGGAGAGTCTCTATTACACTTGCTCGAAACTACACTGTAAAACTTTGCCGTAAAATATACGGTAACATCACGTGAAAATGCGACGGTAGAATTACGTTATGACAGTGGCAGGGTGCAATGCCGTTAACGTCAATAATTTACGGGATTACGCCGTTTAACCCCAAACCATTGTGGCATATACAGCATTTTACTGTAGTGAATGATTCTGACGGTATAATACCGTTTAACCCCAAAGCATTGTGGGATACTGTCATCCACGCCGCCGCCATTTTACGTTGGGTTTGATTACACGAAGACGAATCGTTCCAGAATCAGCTGCCACAAGACTCATCTATTGGTAATTTGTACTATACGATGTCTAGAGTATGCAGATTAAGGACTTACATGTTCACTATTTAGCTTTTCTGTTGTTTCCAACTGTATTTTTGTGTTTGACAAATGTAATGACGTATCGTTGCAAAGAATGTACTTTTGAGACCTCTATCTTACGTCAGTATGTCAGACATTATCGTTTACACAGAAACGTACCAAACATTGTGTTTCCATGTTGTCAGGAGCTTTGTGTAAGACAATTTCACACGTACAGTGCGTTTCGAGCACACGTACTGCGTGATCATGGGCGCAACACAAACACGAGTCAGTCAAGGTCAGTAAATGGCCAGTCACATGTGAATGTGCATCTTGTATGTAGGCAAAGCTTTTGTGACAGTACATTCTCTCGTATCGAGGAGCTCTTGAAACATTTGCGTCAGCATTTAGACAGAAGGGATCCCATTGTTTGTCCATTTAGATCATGCAATACCAAAATTGTACATAAATAAACATTCTCATCTCATATAAGTAGAAAGCACAAGCACCACACATTATCGGAGTTATCAGATTCAGTTCTTGAAGCAAATAACACACATACAAATACAGATGAAGGACAGCTCTGCATATCTATACAAACAGACAACAGATTGGTTGAAGCTGATCTTGAAGAAAGTGAAATGGTAGTCTGTTTGCGTTTAGTGTTTTCTGTTTCATGTAATGTTTTCAGACAGATCACTGTTTATATCAGTCCACGTGGATTAGTTATATTGTTAGAGACCTATATTGTCATCAGGACATAGGGAAATGTTTCTTTTTTTGTTTGCTGTTAATGGACATCATTTTGTCGCCTCTTTCCCCCAGCTTAAACAAAGTACGAGGGGGTATAGCTGTATACAGCATATACTATGCCAACTTAGGTTAACATCGTTATACTAACTCTGATGATGTAAGAAAAGACCAGCTTCACACTGAAAACAATAAAATCTGAATCATCTGGTTCAAAGATTCATCTAACACAGTTGTATTCTTTTTATTTGAATAGCATATGTTCGCAGCATTAAAAGCAAGTAAGATCAGTAGAATTGGTCTTCAGAAACCCATGCTTGTCGTAAGAGGCGACTTACGGGATCGGGTGGTCAGGCTCGCTGACTTAGTTGACACATGTCATCGTATCCCAATTGCGTAGATCGATGCTCATGCTGTTGACCACTGGGTTGTCTGGTCCAGACTCGATTTATTAATTTTATTAGCGGGAATGTTGCTGAGTGCGGCGTTAAGCAACAAAGAAAGAAAGAAAAGTAAAACTTTAGAACAAATTCTTGGATTGATACTCATACTGAATTACATTGTTATGTTAAACATCCGCCGCGATAAACAGATCACAATTCAACGCATGGTAGTTTATATGCACGGTAAAGTAATAGTTAACTGCCTGTAGTAATAAGAGTCTGAAACAAATTACGCCAGGGTGTTTAATCGACGAAGTAAGGAATTACAAATTACGTGGCTGGATCACTGGATTGTCTGGCCCAGACTCGATTATTTACAGACGCCGCCATATAGCTGGAATACTGCTGAGTGAACAACCAACCGATCTCAAAGTGCAGCTGACATACCTGAACAAATATTACTGTCTTGTAATATTCCATGTCATGTCACAAGTTTTCTTAATAATGGTACAATGTTTATACATAGAAAGTATTTTTCGATATGAGCAAAATAATCCCAAATTAGCTCAAAGCCGTGAAGTTAGTCTTTTCAAAATAAAGCCTTCGTTCAGGTAAACGTCAGATTGTACATTTCACGCCAGGTGTTGGGAAGCGCTGTCACATGCTGTCATGGTTACGAGTTTAACCAATCAGGGCTCACTTCCACTGCACGAGTTTTTCGAGCGCGCTAATTGTGAATGGAAGCAGAAGTGTTGTATGTCGGTCAGCTGTGTTGGCGCATTACAAACTAATGCCAACAAACTGGCGAGAACATGTGCTTGAACAAACTTTATGCGGTTAAGGCTCGATCAATCGTTCTGTGAAACTTTGGTTTGTGAAGAGTGAAGGCTGTCCACAAAAATAATGTTTTTGTCAATGGGATACCTTGCCTTTCAGGGGCCTGCCAGAGAACGCTGGACACAGAGATAAGGTAATTATATATAAGTGCTCTGGTTGTGACCATGTAACTTGTAACGTTTAGGGTTGTACTAGCTACAGAGTAGTACTGTACACAGCGACTGAACTGAGTTTAACTCGTTGAAATTCCTGGTTATAAGTTTATTCCCGATAAGATGATTGAATGGATTGGATTGGATGGTCAGGCTGGGCGACCTTGCTGACGTATGTCATTGCATCCCAATTGTCAGGTCCAGACTCGATTGTTTACACACCGGTGTCATACAGCTGTAGAATATTCCTGAATATAGCGACAAACTAGAAACTAAGACAAACAGAAAGCTAGGTGAGCGGCGATTCATGACATTGTCAACGCCCAACGGTACGTGTTCATGTCACCCATGTGGATTTCAGGTTAGCACTGGACCGTGATATACAATGTGTGTGTTTCTGTAAAGGAAGTAGGAATTTTCCGTCTAAATCTTAATGTTCCCCGCATTTTTCGCTTGATATCACACTGAAAAAACAGTGAAAGTAAATATCATCAGTATTATCGTTTGCTTTAATCAGTGTGTGTACCATTATCAGCCAATGTACCATTATTGATATAAACTACCCTACCATTCCTCGGAAAGGTTTGTCTGGAAAGGTACGAATGGAGTAATGCTGATTCTAACGTTTATCATTTTGTCAGCCACATTGAAGTATTGCTTAAAGGCCGTGCAAAATCATACTCCCTTCGCTCAAAAGTTTGCTGCATATTCCATGCAGGATGAATCCCATGTCACCCGCTCATTGAAGCTACTGCTTGGACGTGAAATGGTGTGTACCTGATCACCTGATAGCTAGCCAAACCCGGTCTCAACTGGAAGCAGCACTGGTTGTACCTGTTCACGGTGTGTTATGACCAGTGATGATTTGGTCTGTATGCTCTGAGTATGCCACAGCAGTGAAATTCCGCTACATTGAAATGCACGGACATATTATCTTGCTACATTTCAGGATGCCAAGACAACTAAACAAAATTACCAAATTGAATAAAAGAAAAACCTACATATTAATTGTTTTACACTTGCAATATCCTTCCCTGAAAGCGATATGGCAAAAGTGAGTGATAAGTACAACCAGAATTGTACAGTACAATTATTTTTAAAATGCAGATTAGGATAATTGCAGGACAACACCCTGTAACAGTGTCTTATTGAGAAGCTGTTCATTTCATATTCACCAGGGGCAGAGGGGTAGCCTAGTGGTTAAAGCGTTCGCTCGTCACGCCGAAGGCTCGGGTTCGATTCCCCACATGGGTACAATGTGTGGGTGTCCCCCGCCGTGATGTTGCTGAAATATTGCTAAAACCATGCTCACTCAGTAATATAGGCCAACGGTTACCAGCTGGCTAGCCTTCTGAAACTTTGAATGCTTGTATCTGTTGGTATATAATTTACAAGTGAACACAAATGAATTTATACCTCTGTTTTATCGCCATTTTGATTTAAATGTCAGCATACAAAACATGTATAATACTCACCAACATTGAAAACGCACCAGTTTAAAATTGTCCATATTTTCATCAAGATGGATGTCAGCATGACAATGATCAATGAATATAACTAACATGAAGTCAAAGGGCATGTCTAGTTGAAAACATGCTTTAGAAACAAATTTCTGTTCACAGTATGACTCTTAATTCCAAAACGCATCAACATGCAGCCACGCCATGAAAAAAGCGCGGATTTCATTCTGAAATCATGCTGACTGTGACATTAAATGCAGGTGTATGAGAAACGATTCTCATTGCTTCACTAACGATTGTGAAACGAAGACAGAGATGCCGAGGTTAACACCTCACGATAAGAACGTGCACTAGGCATGATTCAGGTTGGCACCAGCAGCAGGGATATTGCTCGACAACTTGGGACTTGGCCACTCCATCAGCAGACAGGCAGCACCCGTGACCTTCCACGACCTTGGCAACAACGTGTCACGACGCCCCGTCAGGATCGCCATATTGACCATGTCCATATCCGTGATCGAACACTGCCGACTGCCAGGACTGCTGCACTAGTTCAAGGTCGACCTGGGGTCATCAGCGCTGATATCATGCGACGCCGTCTACACGCTACAGGGCTCCATGCTCGACGCCCTTACGTTGGACCAATTGTGACTGACAGACACCGTAATGACCGTATACAATGGGCTAACAGTCATGTTCAGTAAAGGTTACAACAATGGCATGGTATGGTAGTCACTGACGGCCGATTGCGTGTTTGGCGTAGACGTGGTGAACGTTATACTGATGAGTGTGCGGTTCAGACAGACCGTTGGGGTGGTGGGAGCGTCATGGTCTGGGGTAGAAAAAGTTACAACCACAGGTCTGTCTTCATGTCTGTAAAGGGAGAGTTAATGCCCTTGACTACCGTGACCAGATTCTTCATATTCACGTCGTACCATTCTGCAAAACCACCAAAATGTCCATACTTTTCAACAGGACAACGCACGGGCCCAGCAACACATCCAGGTAATTCATTGCTCAGTACAGTCGCCAGATGTATCCCATGGAGCACTTGTGGGACGAAATTGATCAAAGTCTTTCGCGGCGACAACAGATGCGAAACATCTGGGAACTTGAGGCTGCACTACTCCAGAAGTGGAATGCCATCCTCCAGAACTCAATTGGACGCTTATTGACTCAATGAAGAGACGTTGCACTGCATGTGCCAATGCAAATGGTGGTCACACGCGATATTGACTTTTCGATTTGACGTGTGTTTGATCCTTTCTGACTGTGGAACAATTAAATGAACGAGCGTCTTTTCTTTGTTGTTGTTTTTGTCAGTCGTCCATCTGTTATTATCAACTAAAAAAATATCAATTCCTTACACGTGCTTTTAGTAATCTGAATTTTTATAAGTGGTGCGTTTTCAATGTTGGTAAGTATATTTGTAAGTAAACCATGGTGCACCAACATACGATTAGTACAAACAAGAGGCAGATGGATAGAGCATACAAGTATAGCTGGAATGTCACCCTGAGTCTTTCTATCCAAATATAACATACCCAGACGACCGACTACAACTGTCCGTGGTCACGTGGGCTCCATTCCCAGAAAGCCATGATATGCTGGACTTTCCCTGTGAAGAACGTGGTCAGTAGATATAGGGGGTGTATTTAGCTGGTCAGAATATTCCGAGTAGCGGGGAAAGTGAACCTTCCGCATTCATAGTGAAGTGTAAGAATGAGTTGCAGGTGCTGAAAACACCCAGTGATACCCCAGTTACCGTAGAAAGGCAGTTGTGTCAGCGGAGGTCGTCTGGAAGTGGTCGTATACCGGCATGCGAAATAGAAAATAGACTATACCTCTATTTTCAGATCAGCTTCATTTGAACAGTGCAAAACTAACCCCAGCATGTGCAGAGTGAACTAGTACGTGTAATACGTGTGCCAGTACTACGCAGACACACATAACTCCTTAACATTGTGAGAAACTGCGCATTGTTGTGCAAACTGGGTTGCTGAAGACCGGTTCTAACCCGGATTTGAACGGGTGTTTGGAGCCAGAACATGCACTGTGTAGACTCACTTCAGTATGCATCTGGCGAAATATTAATTGGCGCCAGAATGCATGGGATATTAATGCATTGTCACATGCTAACGTGATATACATGTATGTTGTATATATGGCATACATGGGCGGATCCAGGAATTTTGAAAAGGGGGGGTGATGTTCCGCCAACGCAAATTTTTTTTTTTCAATGTGGTCTTAAGTCATTTTCAAGGGGGTGGGGTGTGTGTGTGTGTTTCGAACCCCCTGACACCAACACACACACCCCATCCCTGGATCCGCCACTTGATGTCCAGTAAGCCAATTTGATAAAGACATTTCACTACAAAGCAGGGCTTACTCGGATGAAAATTCTTGAGGATATTTTATGTACGCTTCCGTGACTATTGAAGAAATATTTGAGGCAGGAAATGTCTGACTGACTGAGTTTGGTTTTACGCCGCTTTTAGCAATATTCCAGCAACATCACGGCGGGAGGCAGGAAATGTACAGCATTGAGGCAGTGTATTGTGTATTGGCACTTTATTATGTGTGACAATTTTATATCTGTTAACCTCTGTAGCCCTTGAATGTATTAGCCAATGAATGTATTACCACAATAATTCAAGTTCCTGACTTGATTTTCAATAATGAACATTTGGAACGTTCAACATAAACACCTCGGTGTCATCATGTATCTGCTGTAATAGAAAAGGCCGCAAAAATTTGTTTCCTCATTACGGACGCTAAAGTACGTATTACGCAGATATTACCATTTCTAGTATGTACGGAATGTATATTAGGCCTATTTTAGAATATGCATCTGAGGTCTGGGATAATTGCCCTAGCTATATTTGTGATAAACTTGAAATGTTACAACTTGAAGCAGCAAGAATTGTAACCGGATTGCCTAAATTCGCTTCAAGATATAGTTTATACAGTGAAACTGGTTGGTTACCATTGAAACTTAGACGAACACAAAGGAAACTCTGTACATTCTACAAAATTGTTAATATGCAAGCTCCTGATTACCTGATAGATTTACTTCCACCTTTTACTGAAACCATTTCCGGATACAACTTGCGTAACAAATCAGATTTGGCTGTTCCTAAATTTCGCACCTCAATTCTCCAAAAGTCATTTATTTATGATTCTGCAAGTTTATGGAATGCTCTCTCCTCTACAAAAAAATGTACAAATTCATTATCATCGTTTAAATCAAAGTTATTTGGAAATAATGACAAGGTTCCAAAATATTTTCTATTTGGTGAAAGAAAGACAAATATACTACACACGAAGTTAAGACATTCGTGTAGTTCATTACAAGCAGATCTGTTTCGAGTTGATCTATCAGAGAGTAGAGCTTGCAATTGTGCTGCTCCGGTGGAAGATGCTAACCATTTCTTCTTAAAATGTCCAAAATTTGTCAGTTGCCGTTGTGATCTGAAGAAAAGTCCATTACGTCCAACCATTATTGTTCATTATTGTTCATGTTTCTGATGGGAGCGGGCGGTAATAAGTTACATAACTTGTGCCCAATCCATTTCAACACTGAATAAAATATGTTCAAACAAAAAAATCTAAGCCAGGATCTCCACCTTTTGATATAAAAACAAGGGTGGGGAAGAAGTAGCCTAGCCCAAACTTTCCCCGGGGTAAGAATATCCTTGGACAAAACCTCCCTGGGGAAAGTTTGGCCTTGGCCAGATTCTCGCATTGACTCATAAGGTGACATTGAAAGGTGATGGCATCTCTAACCTAATTTCTGGAATAGGTAGTGTCCACGTTTGTGGTCTACCTTTGACATCAAATGTATGTGGAACATAGGACCAACTACTCAAGGGTGTTACACTGGTGGCCAAGGAAGTGTTCGATCGTGGGTTTTAATCCATGACTCTGTTAGCACCACACCCCTGCTCAACCAAATTGCTAATGTCTTCGAGCTGCAGGGGTCTGGATGTTCACAGACACGCCCGCATAAGAAGGAAATACTGCTCAAAGCAGCCCTAAACCAACTCATTCACTCAGTCATGTGACATGCAAAGGGGTGGTTCCTATATGGACCTTTCCAATAAGTTCGTATCTCCCCCTGATTTATTATCCCCCCTTTCGAACACTTTCGCAAAAAGAGATAGAACGGCCCAATACGCGCTTGACGTTCACTTCCGGTGAGGGTTTATGTGGTTGTGTTGCATTTCTGTACGATATTAATCAAGTACTATTCATAAGTACCAGGACGGGACAAATGAGTCGGGTCATACATGAAACTGGTCAAGGTTAGGTGAGTTCCAGGGACTGCAAGCACAAACTGATCTTAGCCGTACAGATAGTGTATGTCTGTGAGTAAATGTGCCTTGTTCACTCTATCACATTCGTTGAAATATGCAAAGAAATGAGTTAGAATCTACATATCTCTGTTGTGAGGAGTATGAGTGCCCATAGATGATGTAAACATCAAATGTGATTTATGTAAACAGAATGCGTCGCTTGAGTTTTAAGACATCTATTAAGGAACAAAAGACGTGTATTCTATAACAAAAGAAAAGACAATGGAGCTAGAAAGTCAGGACAAAATTTGACATTTAATATTAATTAGTATTGATATAAGTAAAAACCATGTCCTAAAAAGAAGCAGCAAGATGTCACTCTAAGCGTCCATCTTGACTACTTCTAAATGGCGTTGTGTAATTCACATCTTGACTCAGAAATCTCTCCCTAAGAATCCAAAGTTAACAAGATGTCACTTTAAGCGTCCATCTTGACACGGAACACTTTCCTCAAGAATCCAGACACACATGACAGGAAGACTCGAACTCGGGGAGGGAGAGCAACTGCACGTTGAGACTGGCCAGCTTCAAGCAAACCAATGGCGATATGACGGTTGGCTTCACTTAGACGTGGCATTTTGCGTTCGTCAACAATATTCCAAATACAGTGAATAATCGACAGACAGCGATCAACCTGTTATACCCATCATTGAGACTATCTGATCCCCAACTTTCACATGCATTGCATGTGAATTGTGTATTCTGTGACACTACACGCCTAAATTGAAAATCATGCTGTTAAATACGGGTATTTTAC